GCAGGTGAGAGCAAGCCTGGGGGGGTCGCAGTGCAGGGTCAGCTAGCATGTATCACCTCTGCAGCTGGCAGTCAAGAGATTGAGAAAGAATGTTACCTTTATTTAATGTTCTATTTAGAAAAGTTTGAATTGTTTGATGGGTAAATCCATACAACTTCTAATGCCAGCTGATGGGAAACTACCACAGGCAGCATAGGATGGTGTAGCAGGGCGTGCAAGGTGATTGTGGGGGTGTGCACATACACCCCATTAATAATACCAACAGAACACAAATAATCATAATTCTGCAAAATTGGTTACCTGAGTGTAAAGTCAATATACGCAATTCATTTAACGGACAAAGAACGCACAGGATAAAATATGTTCTTTTTGGGCTTCAAATCAAATGCTAATTTGCTCAGAGGGAACAAAAACGTGGACCGGCTGTGGGTCCCCAAGGACCGGATTGGGAAGCGCTGCATTAGAGGGTCATTTTACAAGTCCAACAGGAATCACGTAGTCAGACAAAATCAATGTATTTGTGAAAATTATTTATCTCCACATTACATTAGATTCTAAACATACAATATACTAAATTAAGACTTTCTACAAAAATATAAATCATGCCAAATCAAATGACTAGTAGAAACCCTTTCAACAATTTATCAAAAAGTAAAAGTGAGATGCAAAAAAATATTTGTAAGGCTAATTTTCCTAAGATGTATGCGGAGACTATTGTGTTCTGATGATATTACGTAAATGGAAATAGACCCAGACCCAGCCTCTGTATAATTATATTCCCTCCCCAGGGAATACATTGGTATCGTTCTGGCAGCATCTAGTTTGTAACTGTATTTTTGCATATTCACTTTTATTTTTCCATATGAATTTGAATAAGAGTAAATTATGTCATAATGTACTTTCTGGCATTAACATATTAAGATTAATTTAAAATGTTCCTTGGTTTTTGTTTTTTATGGGCAATGAAGGTATCTGTGCTTATTTGATCAGTATCCCATATACAGTACCAGTGAAAAGGTTGCACACACATACCCATAGAAAGGTTCTGCCCAAGAGCTCTTGCCCTGCTGAATCAGCAATACGCCTAATCAATCTTGTTTTGCGTCCATATCATACCGCATTTTTGTGCTTTTTATGTTGTGTATTCACCGAATTGCTCCAGTCTTGTTTTTATATTTAGTATATTTATCAATCTTAGTACCTACTGCTGTTTTCTGTCTGCAAGTTACCACACAAAATGTCATTGCAGGCATACAATGACACATACAGTACTGCCATGTCTTTATGTGCCACTGTCATTTGCACTACTGTAATGTTCTCTCACCTGTTGTTACTGCTGACTACATGGTCATAGTCTTACACTTGTTTTTTATCCTTGTAAAATCCTCCAAGCATACATATGTATATATTTTAGTATACTCCATATTTTTATTATCTACTTTACTTCTTTTCTACGGCATTACCATTGATGTGGCATACTCAGAGGTGATCCTAGGGACTCCGTTTGGCGGCAAAAACCTCCATTGCGCCCTCCAACTCCCCCTCCCCCAGCATGGTAACATATATTACCTTTATTTTAATGAGAAGTGTAAATTAATAATATCAACAAACATAAGTTAATAAACAGAAGACACTTTTGTGAAAAACAGAAAACACAAATAACTCGGATTTGTCGTTGCAATGTACTATGTAATCGGCTGCCTTTGGGGGCCCCCTGCCACCTCGGGGCCCCTCCCATCTCGGGGCCCCAGGCAATTGCCTGCCCTGCCTGTTGTGTGGCTGCGCCTCTGGGCATACCAAATGTTGTTTTGTCTCATTTGATGACAGTAAAAGTGTTCTATTCTATTCAATTCTGTTTCATTCAGTTCTAAACAGGGCAAATGTTTTTACAGAAATTCCTCCTTTCATAAAGCCAGACTGAGTAACAGAAAGTATTACATCTAAATAACTTATAGTTTGAATTCAACAAAAATCCTGGATGCCAAATATCTAAATATAATTTTTATTTGGTTCAGGTGTTTATGTAATTAGTCCACGCACTCTGCCATTATGCAGTTACACAGCATCCAAGAAAGTTTTTGTTGGAATCTATTCAACCACTTTGAAGGCTCATTATCATTCAGCAATCATTAAACAATAGCTTTGTTTATTTTCCAAAAACAATGTATTTAAAAAGCCAATAACGTAGAGGATAAGCAAATTAATTACAATGACATGTGACTCTTGGAGAGATTGAAAGAAAAATGCTGAAGTGTCCCTTAAAACTTACTAGCTTCATCCATCCATGAGCAAACATCTGTTTTTGGTCTTTACTACTGACATTTCTATCTTTGGATAACTTAGATTTCACTGTGCTATTAATTTCGGTCTCTTTTTCCATAAATACGGGTTAAATTATTTCACGTGAAAGATGGACTTTCACGCTGTGATATGTGTGATTGGGGATTCAAATGTTCACCAACTTGGAATTAAAGGATATTTTTTAAAAATGCAGGAGCCCCTCAAAACTCAAATAACACGTTTTATGACGTAATGTCGTAAAGCAATGCATACGACCGGTCAATGTCGAAAAAGGAAAGCAGATCGGGTGGCGACAGTGCGGGCGCTTGCAGAGTAGCGTCTGGCTGCAGGTGTCACTGTCGGGCATCTTCAGGTTCACGAATGCATAGAACAATTCGCCACTCTCAATAACATAAAAGAATAAAATGATCATGCAACGATATTGCTTCAGTACTATTTCAATCCTGATATAAATATTTTTCATACATCCAGAATGAATAACGCAATAGATAATGCAATACATGTTTCCAAAACATTATACCACTGAGAATGTTAGAATGTTAGAATATTCAGAATGCTTCAGAGTTTAAAAGTTATCAATAAATATCTGGGCAGGACTTTTGAGAAGTAAATGTAGATAATTGCTATCAATAAAATGGTATTTGTGTGAATTTTTACACATATGCAGAACAACTTTAAACAGTAAAAACAAAATTTAAATGAATATATTTAACGTTTAGATTTAGAATAGATTGACAATTATGAAACATAGATCATGCACAAATAGATGCGCAGGACATTTTTTTTCAAACACGTTAAACAGATAAACTACACTTAAATCCGATTAGGTACATGTTTCTTATTTTTCTGCGCATGCGTCAACCCAACCCTAAGAGGCCTGAGAGAAGCGTAGCGTCTGCAGCCGTTTCTTATACTTATAGGGGACGATTTGTTCTTAATATTTTGTCGGAAAACGATTGGTCTTTGTCACCAGAATATGTAATTCCTAATAAATCTAGAAATGTCTCTTATATATTGCTACATAGCTGTTACCCAACAAATCTTTATTTACAGAAGTTGAAGAAAGATATTGAGACAAACTGCTTTTTTTTGTAATGTCCATGTTGAAACAGCTTTACGTCTGTCCTGGAATTGCCCTTTTGTTACTATGTTTTGGAAAGACAGGCCCTTTTCTCATTTTGTATGCCGATGTATATGTGAAAAAATACTCTTTCATTAAAGGATAGCCTATGCTGTTTGATTTCATAATATCTATCATTCTGACCAGAAAGAATACTATCTTATAAATCTTCTAATCATTTTTGGCAAAATTTCACATACATAAAAGCAAATATAGCATCAGAACACCTATGTTTATTATTTTTGAAAATAAATTTCAATAGTACCTCCAAACTATTTACTATTATAATAATTACAAAGCCATAAAGACCATTGTGCCGCCACATTATTACTCATTTTTTCTTTTGTTTTTTTTTTTTCTTCTGTGTTCTAACCGTGCGTGCTGATCCTCTGTGCTGTAGGCTATCACATGCCTGAAGTACTAATAAAGCATAAAAATGCGAGGCGGAAAGACGCCCAAACCACACCTCGCGACTCTGACGAACTCATAAAATCTCTAACTGAACATTTCAGAAACATCCAGGTTTTAATGGAAGTGGTCATTGTTTTCTAATGTTTACTAGCGCTGTCAATAGATAAATAACTAGCAAGTCACATGATTTTCTATAATTAATCGGGATTTCTCTCACTTAATGTTTGTTTCAGGTTGTACAATGCATAATAACGTATATCAAGGTCTATTTCATAACTTTAACACAAATTTCCTTTTACTTAAAATAAATGTACTTCAGTTACAGGTTAGGTTAGATTTGTTTCCGATAATAAGTTTGAGATTTAGCTTATTAACGACGGTTTTCATAAGGTTTCTCATCTTTACCCAAGGTGACAGTTCTCGAATATTTAGTGTGAACCACTCACACACGACAAAGTAAATTCTAACGCGTCATGTGGCCTAAATTTAGGGTAATTCCACGTTATTTGTATAGAGTATAAATCATGGGACGCAGAACTAGGTAACTTTGGGAGCATCGTTAAAGCATGCAGTAATGAACGATCACGGAAAAATAATGACAAATAATTTAACGTAATGCAAAACAACAAAAATGTATTAATAAAATTATGAATTATATCTGTTCTTTTTAAACAAAACGTGGGGGTTGCTTAGCCCAAGACTATGATAATAGGACATATGTTTAACAGACATAACGTATTAAACTTTAAAAAAAAAACAAAACTTTTTAACAAACATGAAGTAATACTCATAAATATCGATGGCGTGCAAAACTGGGAGTAAGTGGAGGTCGTGCTAGAGTCCAGGAATATTACAGTAGGCTGTCAAGAACGTTGGTTGTGCAGGTGCTGAACATTATATGCTCATATAGAATCCGAACTGCCAGTGGAAAGAAATTCTTCATGTCACCAATAGCGTCTCACCGAGCTCCAACACAGACAAGAATCCATTGCTGGGGTGACTGGGATCCCTAGAGTACTACAAGTTAAAAAAAAGAAGTAAAATTTACTGATATCACGGGACGTGGTGGTAAGTGACGCAGCCAATGAAATCGATCCTGGGAGTTCGTCGGCGCTGCGGGGCGTGGCTTATGATCAAGTCGTTCGGGGATAAAATGTCGCGACGAGCGTCGTTTTTTTCCCAAAAATGACGCGGAAGAAAGAATCTTCCTAGACACTGATTGGCTTAAATCAATCAGCCCAGAAAAGTAACGCTCGCAATTAACTTTTATTGTGTCACTGCAGAAATTGAAGATGTGCAGGTCCCCATAACGTGTACGCCGTGACGCTGAGGAGATTCTCGGTGGTACTGAGAGTAAAAACGATCATAGAAACTAGCAGGAACGCCCCGGTAAATGCTCGAGCTCACTGGCGAGTATTTTGACAAAAAACGCGCACTGAAAATGTTTTTTCGTAACTAAACACCACAAGCAGACTGTATTTCTAGTTTCGATTGCTCCCAAAGATCAAGGTACTTCGTGCCTTTCTCTACCTTTTCGAGGGAGGGCTGGAATACATACAAGCGAAGAAATAGGAGCGCCAGCGTTGCACACATTTCAACAGGAGGACTAATCTCGAAAGGGCAACTTTATGATTAAATTTTAAGAGAATCTGCTATGAATATGCAAGCAGCATTGCGGTACGGAAAAGTTTACGTTGTATGTAAAATAAAGCGAAATTGTGGGCCCCATATATGTTAGGTGCAGCTAATGAGCAACCCCAGCGCTGCTAAGCACAGTGCGGCGTCACTATAATACGTCATCTAAGCCGGCCCAGGGATATCGCCAGAAAGGCAGTGGTTGGTACTACGGCAGTTGCATAGCCGAGTAGGTCGATTCTGTCGTAGATTTAATAGCCCAAGAACTGTGAAAATACAAAGAATATACCCGTTGTATTCATTTCCAGTATCCATTTTCTTTTCACAGTTAAAGAGAAATTTGAAGCTGGTCAGTAAACTAATCTACGGAAGACAATTATTATTAGACTATTACTGGTTCACCAGGGCAACCTTAGAAAAGGTAGAAGAACACGAATTAAAGGATAGACCGCTGTCCGGAAAGAAATAAACTAACAGAACATTAAAATGGGATCCAGAGCGTCGACGTTACTGAGGGAGGAAGAGATTGAAGAAATCAAGAAGGAAACTGGCTGTAAGTTCCAACGTGCATTTTGATGAAAACTGGCTGTCATAAGGGCACTCACCCTACCTTAAGTTGATCCTTTGCTAAGTCACCAAATCGGGAAAGCAACCTGTATGCAGACCATTATACATACTACACATGCATGCACTTCAGGGAGTAGTTTTATTTAATTTGTATTTAAATTAAGAAATGAGAACAAGTTATATTAAAATGATTTCTGATTTAAGCGTATGAGGAACACAAGTTTGATGTTTGGGTGTTTAACAAAACTTTTTTCTTTACTTTTTAAACGTGTTGGGTTATATAAATTATGAAACTTTTGTGGCTGGATTTAGTTTATGAGTTGACCTGTATGTGTCACAGAATTGGTATTAGAATGGAATAGTTACTGCAGTGCTTCTTGTTCTGGTTAATTCAATGCCTTATTGCCCTTGGGTCCTGTATTTTGGCATTTCTACAGTTTTGTTAAACGTTTGTGGCCACTGCAGTATTTTTTTTCTGTAATTATCTTCAAAGTCACTGTACACTGGACTGGCCAGTTTGCTTATAGGGTGGCACATAACCAGCCAGTCTTCTGTCTACAATTAGAAAACATGTTGTTTAATTTATCAGAATGCCATGTATTAGCGATGTATGCAGAGATAGGCAGAATAAATGTGCATATTTACTGTGAAGATCTTGCTAGTAATTTTGCTAATGTTCTTTGTAATTGCAGTTTCTCACAGTCAGATCACCAGGCTATACAGTCGCTTCACCAGCCTAGATAAAGGAGAGAACGGCACGCTCAGGTATTCACCTTTTCCAGTATTGAGACCAGGTGCTGTATCTGCACAAGGAACACGGTGGTATTTTCTAATTCATTGCTAAAGCGTATGCAAGATGAGTTAATGTTGGCGATGGGGAAAAAGAATATATTAATGCTGATGTTTAACCAAAGGCATTTTACTTAAACTAATTTTAAAATTAACAGGAATTCTAATAGCCTGGGTACACGGACATTTTATCCTTTGTTTTTACACACACCTGTGAGTCTAATACTAAGAGGCGATTTAGTGTAAGTACTTAATCTGAAATACACAATAAAAACACAAAATAAATTTAAGGAATTCTGTCTGAATCCTTCCCTGTAGTCAGACACAGAAAATACCTGTGTTGTATGATGACAGGCTGTATATCAGTGTCATGGCCTGCTCAGAGCAAGCACAGAGTGTTTATTATAACTATTCACGTTGTGCTTCTGACCCCCTTCATAATGAATCCTTCTAACTTTTTGTGGTTTTAGTGTGTGCTTGTTTGAGGAATGCATTTGGTATGCTTCGCAGCCTGAATCTGTTTGTACTGTAAGCAATTACACATGAAACCCGATATATTGTACCATTCTGCTTTTCCAAAAATATTGCGTAATTGACCTTGATTATAAATTTACACTTTAAACAAAGCACATAACAGTTGTATAATTCAAAAATTTCAACTAGTTAAGGAAGATTTTGCTAGTAAGACTTTGTGCCAAAATATACAAATCTTTAAATTAGAAAGTAGGCTTGGGTATTATTAGGGTATACTGCTGCTCTATACCTCAGTATTCTGGTATATCATAGTTTGTTTTTGTTAATATACCTCTGTATTTTGAAATCTCTGACAAAAGTACCCTGCGGGGGGGGGGGGGGGGGGGTGGCCTCCCACAAGTTTCCCTCCCCACTCAGAAAATTTTATTGCCAAAATTTCAGGAATAACTTGCCGGAATTGCTTTTGAAAATATCGTCAAATATCATTAACTGCAGTTTAATGTCTGGACGGTATAACATTATATTAATAAAAAAATCCCAAGCCTAGTAGAAGGTTATTTAGTTAAAATGGCATTGTCACATTCATCCACACATGTACTTAAAACTCATGTTTTTTTACATTTGACTGCACTGAATTCTACAAAGAATTTTGTTGAAACTGAAAAAAATGAAACTTATTTTTCCCTTGTGTAGTTCTCTTTCAGATATCTATAGTGTATATATTCCATTGGTATTTGTAAAATGCAAATGCATTAAGTTATATACTTTGTAATGCATTTTATGACTGAATTGCTTTTGTTTGGTGTATTTATTTTTTCACTGTGGAAAATAAATGGCTAGTAGGAATGATATTTAGAGGCACAGACTGGTATGAAACATTAGTCACTAAAATGATTGTCCTGTTTTTGTTCAGAAGAATTTGAAAGATGATTCAGCTGTTCTTTTCCCCTGTTTTGGGCAACAATAATTAATCATCAGTTGCCACAACATATTCCAAATACTGGTTTGTTTATTACCCTGGGTCTACATTTCACCTGGTTTAGTTAGTTTGCACCATTTTCTGTCCATATTTTTGCTCTAGCCCCATACACAAGCACTCATAGCCAGTATTTTTTTAATTATCAGTTATCATATGTTTGTTAACTCACTATTCTGCATTTGTCTAGCCGGGAGGATTTCCAGAGGATTCCAGAGTTGGCCATTAATCCACTCGGAGACCGGATCATTAATGCGTTTTTTCCAGAAGGGTAAATACCTTTTCCTCTCTAAATATGATCCTTTTTGGCTGCAGAAGGAACCTTAATTCTTCTTTATGTCTTTGCTCACTGGAAAAACAAGCCACCAGTACTGTAATCAAAGGGTATCTTGTGGTGTGTCGTGTATCTTTCTCGCTGTATAATATGCATGTTTGTATATCTATATATTGGTCAGTTTTGCAGTACAGTTTCAGATTTTGTAAGATTACCTCAATTTCATGTACTAAGTACCTATTTCCTGTTTTACTTGATGATTTGATAACTTTCTTCCTCTGTTGTGCAGAGAAGATCAGGTGAACTTCCGAGGGTTTATGCGAACATTGGCACATTTCCGTCCCATCGAGGATAACGAGAAGAACAAGGATCCCACTGCTAGCGAGCCTCTCAATAGCAGGAATAACAAGCTGCGTTGTGAGTCTCTCATTTCTTTCCAGTCTCCCAGATTTGTTTCTTCCTCCTCTTTTCTATTTACTCTCTTCACTATATCTTCTCTCCCCTACCGTTTACAGAGATAACAGGAGGCCCTTACGGAGACTAGGATTTTTGTGTTGATGTGAGTTTAACGAATAATTCTCTTTCATCACAGTTGCTTTTCGACTGTACGACTTGGACAGGGATGATAAAATCTCCAGGGATGAACTCCTGCAGGTGGGTTTCCTTAAGGGGGACTATTAAAGGGAAGCTTTACTGAAAAATGTTTTCTTCCTCATCCAACAATGTAATACGGCCAGATTAGTTTGTGTTGTATACACACAGCATTTTATTGAAGTGTGTACTTGCATATGTATGTGTGTGTTTATATGCATGCAGACCTGTCTAAACTTAAACTTAAAGCATTAGTACCCCAGTTATTTTTATTATTTTTTTAAAACCATTTGTTCAAAATTTTGATGGCATTTTACGTTCTCTGTTAAATAAAAGTATAAGATTTCAAGAATTAATCATTCGAGAATAAAGTCGTAATAATTAGAGAATAAATTATACGACGTCGAGAATAACTTTTGAGAATACAGCTAAAGAGATTTTAGTGTCATGGATTGAGGGCGGAATCTCCATCATCCCTCACATCAGCCCAGATTCTTCTCGGATCAGTGAACAGGCACGCTAAGTTTGCGAAATATTTCTTCAGAGTGACGCAATTTCTAACAACTTTTTCAATGTCCGAATGTTAATAATGATCTGCTGGTGATGTACCAAAAGACTAAGAATTTCTTTGTGAAACCTATACTAAAGTTAAGTTTTACTACATCCTCTGTCCCTCATCATGCCACTCAAAGTGCTTATGCAATTATATTTTTTTGTTCAACAGTCGCCCTAAGACACAGTCATACAAAGCAAAAAAGTCTTGTCCCACTCCCTTTTTCCCTTTTACCTCCATATTACTGACGAATCTTAAAGTAGTATATTGTATGATTGTTTATTAATAGACTGTTGATTATTAAATGACTTTGTTTTAAATCTCATTATATACAGCATATGATATTTGTGCTGAAGAATTATTTTTGTTTTAGTAATTTGCATACATGGGAGACATCTTTGAATATTATCTCAGATCTCAATCCATATTTTAAAAATAGAACTTTTTAAATTACCATTGCATAAATCTATGTTCTTACTTTTTAAAATCCACTTTCAACTGTGAGGATGTGTAATTCTTGGCACCATGTGTTTTGATTGTTCTGTGTTGTTTTTGAGACCTTTATCTTCCGTTTCCTTCAGGTGTTGAGAATGATGGTTGGTGTTAACATCTCAGATGAGCAATTGGGCAGTATTGCAGACCGGACCATACAAGAGGCTGATCAAAATGGGGACAACTCCATCTCATTCAATGAGTTTATCAAGGTTGGTCAGGACCTTCTGATGTTTACTGATGCGATATAGGATACTCGGGTCCTCTCCATCCTAGTTTAGTTTATGAGAGCCAGCACAGATTGGAGGAACAGCACACCGCTCATGGTTCATGACCAGCATCAACTGGCCAGATAACATGGTAAAAAACAGCAGTTCTCAGTCAAGGTACCTTCTTACACATCATGTAACTGTTTCACTTGTTTTCTTCTCTCCCAGTCACAGTCAAATTTTACAGAACAATTACAGCTTTTAATCGGAGCAGTTGTTAAACTTGTACACTACTTGAGTCAGTCAGCAGTCAGCCATTTTTTTGCAGGTGCTGCGAGTATTTTACTGTAGTGAATACTTAGATTTGAAGTATGATTTTTAATTTTTTTTTGTGTGTGTGTAGATGGGTGCATGCTTGGACCACCGTTATGTTGTAGCAATATCTCTTGTAGATTGACAGTGTTTCTGCATTTCTCAGGTTTTGGAGAAGGTCGACGTAGAGCAGAAGATGAGCATCCGCTTCCTGCACTAGAGGAATTTGCTTCCTACAGTCTATAATTATAGCAAAACCAGTCCCCCATTTTCAAAGTCCTTAGACTAGTAGAGCTCACCAGTCTCACTTTGGTACCAAGAAAATGATGGTCAATGTCAAGTTATAATTTGTGCTTGTTGATGGTGAGTCAGCCTCGTACTACTCTGAAACGGAAGGGAGGGGTCGTGTGCCTTTATATGATTTGCGTTGTCATACCTGCATTTCCCCAAAAAGGGAAACTGCAAATACATTTCAGATCTAAATATGAATGTTAAATATCTTGCCATTGTGGTTTGCCCATGAATTTCAAGAATTGTGTTCATATAAAGTCACATGTGACAGGTGGATTATTGATGATATTTACAGAGACATGACACCTGAAGTCGATGACTGAAATAGTCTATTTAAATTGACTTATCATAAAAAATAGTATGAATAGTATAATTCTTGTTTTCCTGCAACCCTGTACTGGATAATTGGATGGATGGATGAATGGGTGGCTGGGTGGATGGATGGACGTATGGATGGAAAATTGTTTTTTTTTTAAATAGCTCACTTTATGGTTGCATTCCAAAGCCAGACAAAACAGTCTTGCTCTATCATTCTGATCACATCATTCTTGCTATACGTTTATTGCAAACATAGAAACAAGATCTCAAATTAAATTATTTTTTTGTTTCACCTAAGTGAAATTCCAATTTTCAATCAATCACTATATATTCTCCAATCAGATGTTATTACTTCCAATTACATTCATTTGAGGTGTGGGTTTTTTTTTCCTGTATATTAGGTTGCAAAAATATCATCTAGTTATAAAGTGATCTGATTGCCTACAAAGTAGATGATGAATATAATCGTTTAATATGATCTATCTGCACTGTTCTGATTTTGTGAATAATTTTGTATTTTTAGTTCAGAATGTGATTATGAACTATAACAATAAGCCTCAAAATAAAAAGATCAGATGTGCAGCAAAAGTGATTGAAATATGTATGGATTGGATTTAATTAAAAGTGCCATCCTTGTTATAACCTGGTTTTCCTGTTTTGTCATTTGTACTAATTTAGGTATCTGTAGAGGTGTGTGTGTGCGGACGCGGGCTATTTTATGTTCTACAGAACATCATCTCTTTCCCCTTCATCAATATGTATGTTGTTTCTTCACTGAGTTTGTCATTAAAATGTTGACCTATTATTTTCAAGCAGTAAAATATGAACACACTAGACTATAACCTTCGGTAGTAGCTGTTTTTACTGGAATTCAAGGCGCATTTTCAGCATGAATATTGTCGATTTTAATTTTGGGAACAACGTTTGTAGGAGATTTGGTATAAAGTACTATAAACCATGCGTCAATTTTTTTAAAAGAAGCGACTAGGAGTAAGTGATTCATAAGAAAAGTTGTACAGTACAGGTCGTACAGGTTATTTGAGCTCTCATGGCATTTCATAAATGATGATTTAACAGTGTGTGAGGTACAGTACTTACCCGTGACCGCATGCAACGCACAAAATACGATAGAGTTCGGGGCGGGCATTAAGTGATGAGTGATGGCTCTGAGGCGCAATGAATACTCGGGAAACGTCCATAGGTTCCCATACAGAGTGGTGATAGTGCTCTTCCTGAGCACAATGCGGGCGTAAAATGGCGTAGAGAAGGATGTAACACGCCGGAGCAAATGGAGTAACGAGGAGAAGGTTTCAAATTGCAAGCGAAAAAGGGGTGAAAAGGCCAAGACCATAACGAGAGACCATAATTATAGGCCTAATCGGTTTCTGTGGACGTGCGCGCCGTGGCGAAAACGTTTGGTAAGAGGATCTGGACAGTGCGGTTACTGTTTGTGGTGTTTTATTTATCTACCACCGTGGGGCACGTTATGATGCATGCAGCCCTCTTGCATTGTTTACGAGCGGGCGCGTAAGTTCCGTGCGGGTCACGTGATGCGCATCAGAATGCCAGCACTGCCTGTTATTCCGGCGCCCCAGTAACTGCGAAAAATTAACCGTCCTTTGTGTACTTAGAGTACTTATTTCGTAATTTCTAAAGCTTTTGCCCGTTATTCGTTAGTATAACTGCCGTAAAAAAAATAAAATTCTGACATAAAGAACAATTAAATGACATTCTCTTAATCTGAGGTAGGTAACGTCTTGTTTAATTTGATAGTTTCTCATTTATGACTGCAACAAACGCAGGGGTTGCTTACAAACGTCATTTAAATGGGTACCCTGTGCAGTATATGATCATTTCGGTTTTGTTTGATGACATTACTGTAATGTAGTCATGTATTGCTCGATTTTTTAAAATATAATAACACGTTTCCTTCCTCTCATGCGGCGCTGTAGCGTTACAGCTCCGGGGCTGTGGGCTTATCCCGCCCCCGGCTCTGCACGGAGAGTTTGCATGTTCCCCCCGTCACCTTTGCGCCGGTATCCTTCATTTTCCTGGCGCAGTCTAAATACAGTTTAGTGGAATTAGTATTTGTTAATTGCCCATAGCCTGTGATTTTGTGTCTGTGTGTATGTTCCCTGTTATGGACTGGAATCTTGTCTATGGTGTCTTTTACCGCTGGGTATCCAGGATGACTGCATGCACGCACAGTATAAGCAGCTGTGGAAAACAGATGGATGTCATTGTCAGTTGCTTATGTGAATTGCGATAGCTTCTGATATAAAATAATAATAAAAAAAGATTTTGGATACATGATGTATTTCTCTGTAACTGGAGTGTGTTCTTTTTTTTTTAGAATTTACTATTCTTGCTGGTGTGGCACCAAAACAAGATGGTCTCAACATGGAAAACAAGTTAATCAACTGAATATTAGAGGCAATGACCAGGAAGAAACCAGATGAGGTCAGTTTCAAATGTAGTATGAATGTATTTTAAATGTAATTATCAGTCAATATTCATATTAATTATTTTCTAATAGAAAAGGCAGAATAATATATGTAATGCTTAATGTTTTGCAGCTTTACTATGTGTTAGCTAGTGGCAGAAAAATTCTGGAAACTTTCCATGGGACATTAAGCTGGGTAATTTTGGAAATATTCCAAGGTGGAAACTTCCAAGGTGAATTAACAGGACTGTATAGGAATTAATGGGAAAATTTCCAGAATTCTGCTACCCTAGTGTTAATTTTTCTTTGGATCTGCCACGTGGAAAGTGAATTGCAACCAGAATTCAAAGCATTTTCTTATGAGCTGTAAGTGTTTTTTTAACAGTGTTACGGCTACATGGCTCAGCAATGCGAGTGGAAATCTTAAATAAAAAAATACTTTCTGTTGGGGAGGGACTGGTTGTCCCATTTAGCTGGAAAGTTACCATGGGTAATGCCACTTTGGTTTTATCCCGAAGTCCTGTTCATGGTGACTTAAGTTTATAAAGTTTTTCCTGTTTTTATATTGTGCTGCCAACCATCTAAAAAATAAGCTATTTTAGTGAGATGGTGCTCAAGATGTATAAATTTAGCCCCATGATGGCACAGCAGGGGTGGCAGCTAGTTGCAACAGCTCTGATCTTTGTTTTATTTCCACTGTACAATAACTGTACAGTGGAAATATCATTCATCTATGCCACTACCCACATCACAAGTGCAATATGTGTAATTGTATGCAAAAAATTTTTTTCATAATTTTATTTTTATTTATTTCTTTTTCTTGTTATAGTATCCTTTTGGTTTGTATTCTACTGATTTTATACTTTTAGGCTGTTGCAACAAATAAACTTTCCCATTGTGGGATCAGTAAAGTCCTTATCTTATCTCATCTTATCTTATCTCATCATGCCTGGGATAATCCAGCTTCAGTTTATCAAAGAGGATTTGCAAAAAAGCGTAGAATCTGGTGGTCAAGAGATCAAGAGAGTCACTAATCAAAGAAACTTTGGGCTTGGATCTCTTGAAGTAGATAATAAATGGATGGACTTAATCTTGCAAGATAAAGGATATATTCCCTGAAATCTCCTCTTCCCCCAAAAAACAAAAACAATTTACACACTTTAGGCAATTTTTATGAAATAAACAGATTAAAGAATATTATTGTTAAGAAGATTAAAATATTACAAGAGAGTAAGATTAATGTGTAATGACAGTGATTTTAATGACATGTAGTGACAGTGATTTTCTTTGTAAGTTCGAAGCATTTGAATGTTTTTTTTTTTTGAACCTGGGTAAAGAATGCTAAAATTCCCCTCTCTCCCCCCATATGCCTTTTTAGGCTCAAATATAGCATTTTAAATAGAACTTGTACAATTTTCGGGTGCTTATTTCATGAATGGGACCAAGCAAGAGGTCAGTATATTATAAACAAGTAGTTCACATGCATAAAAAAGGACTTATTCCTCCACACCCTTTACTGTGTTACCAAGGGCAGAGAAAAACACAGTTTGTGGGATGAACTTTGACTGTGAAAAAAGAAAAGTATGCAAAAGTTTTCATCCATACCACAGAAATGGATTTTTGAGCTTTCCAGTGAGCTGAGCCGTGTAGCTGTAATAGTAATAAAGTTACAGCTCATAAAAAAGCACCCTGAACTAATTTTTTTTTGCTACCTGCAGTGAAGAAAATGTACTTTCCCTTTCTGAAAGGGACGTTTTTATTTAGTTATTTTTTTTTATTTAAAAAAACAAAAACCATTTCTGAGCTCTGGAAGGTAGGTGTTGGTTCTCATGGCAGATTTAATCAAATTCAAAAATGGTGATGCAAAAACTATTGGCTAATTTGTTGAATAAAAATGTAATGACCCAATAAGGTGCCTATTCCTTTACCAGCTGACCTAGGGAGGCCTGCACAGAGAATGTGGTCCTGTCACTGGCAGGATGGCTGATAAATCCTGGTGGGATGAGCAAGGCACGTCTGGGATGGCAACCCCCATCTATTCAACAAGTACACATAACACAATTCTTTCTCTTTCTGTTAAAACTAATGTTAACCAGCAAAACCATGTATAATAGCTTAAGGAAAAAATACAGTTTGTATGTGCTGTACTTCCCATCTAAGTCTTGCTGTTGTAGGATCTGTCCCCATAATTTTTGGCTTCACAACTTCTGCAATTGTGAAGATCACGTCTCTCTTGGTGGACAGATGTGCTCCGGATGTGATGGTATAGGTTTCTGACCTGATGAGACCTTTAGTGGAAGGTTGGGTGTACAAAATTAAGGCTGCAAAAAAAGGTATGCATTCATTTTATCTTCGGCGAAAAGTAGCAGCCAGCATGGGCTGGTGGTGGGGACTGGGAACATATCGTCAATGTTCTCCAGTACCACTAATTCTATGCCTTAATCATGCAAAATATAGTACATAGCACATCATGTTCAAAGAGAGCAGACAAGTTTTCTGGAAAAATATCTTCAATATAAATTTTGTATATTTTTAATAAGCTCATATAACATGACCACTTTGCCTTTATCATGATTGATATGAGAAGGTAATATGCTGTTGCCCCCACGTAGATATTGAATTCAGTCGTATCCCACAGATAAACCTCCATTCCTATGTGTAGCATTAAATATGCGACACTTATTCAGTAGTACGATTGTAATGTTAATTAGTTAAGATATGATTTGAAAGTCTTGGGTTGAAAGCGATTGTCAGTAGAAAGGGAGAGGTGCTGCTTTGTACTTTTTAAGTGGTTGTTATATGTCATGAATCCATTTTTGAACCAGCTCCACGTGAAGCACCCTAATCTGTCTTTACAACGGGAATGTGCAATATGTTTTCTTTAATATAAATATGTATAAATTTGATTGTGAAACAAGTGACAAGTTGTTTGACAACAACAAAATCACCAACGTCTTCCATTAAAAGATGTATAGTCCCATGTGCATTAGCTTACTAGCAGGAGCGTAGCACCAGTGTTAAAACTGGCCATGCATGAGGTAGTAATGCTTGCTCAATAAAATACTCATACAATTATTCACAATGTAAAAAATGAGACAAAAGAGATTCTACTCTGCATAAGGGGAAGTACTAACCAGGATGCAGTGTGTATTCTCTTGACCATCTAAGATTAGATTTCAAGGAGGAATTCCACACTGTAGTTTCTTAAACCTTGACAAATGTGATAGTCTTGCTAATAGAAATACAATCTTTGGATTCTCTATTGTACAATATCATTTTAAATGTTAATTTTTTTTGTTTGTATTAGGAAGTGCAATCTCTTCAACATCTCTGCATCTATATATTTCATACAGTTGTGTCCCGAGACTTAAAGTTCATTTATAGTTATTTTAAACACAAGGGTTTTAATTGATAAGTCTGTAGATTAAAATGGATTTCCCAAACCTTTCAAAACAGGCATGAATATGCACCCAAAGACACCCTTAAATGTTTGACTTTGATATAGACAGGGGAAAGTTTTAGAATATGAAGCAGGATATATTCAGAGATACATCTCGGGTGTTAGTAGAATGGTAATGTTTCACTAAAGGTAGGTTATATCGTTAAAATAGTTTACTATTAATACCACACAGTTATGCATAGAATTTAGAGTACAGTTATGTTAAATCCATAGTCCTGTTTATATATTGCAATGTAGATAAATACCTCAAACTCTGGAATGCAGAATGTTTTGATAGAATATCTATTGCAGATTAAGCCATAAAATAGATAATTAGAAGCAATAATGTTTATGCATGATATTAGTGTTGGATCTCTTGAGTAGTGACTAATTGTAGCTATGGTGAAATGGTTGTAGGGCGGAAATAGATTGTCTTGTGTATATTAATCAAAATTAGGTTGAAGGACAAAAAACCCTTATAAGGACTTTTTTTTTCTGTTTCCAAGAAAACGTACCCCTCCATTGTCCTTTAAAAAAGGGATTGCCTTAGTTAATACTATCCAAATTATGCTAAAACAAAATATTAACTATTGAACCGTTTCTTTTTTAAAACATTGAATTAACATTAACTTACTTGTTAAACAAAAATATTAATAAAGTAAGATGGTGTCTTAAAAGTCTGGATGCCCCAGGGAAGTGGTGTCTCCTGGTAGATATTTAAAAAGTTGTAGACTTCAATCTCAACAACAGGGGGGAGTGGCCTCCTTGTATGTAGGCATCCATTTCTCCTGCATGGACATGCGTTGCTCCTCTAGTCTGCGCATGCTGTTCGTCTGTCCTGAATGGTTCCTGCACTCCATTTCACATCTCATAGCCCCACCGATGCAGGACCACAGCATATACTCCACCTTCCATGGATAAAACCTTGATGTACTCATCTAAAAAGGGTGCTGTGCTCCGAGAAATCACCCTTCCCCTGCTGGTGCTAACCTTTGCCAGTCAGAGTTGTCTTTGACCCATGTTCTAGTCCGATTGTCCAGGTAAGGCTTATGATAAGGCTGTTAAGTCTAAGATTTTGTCTGCGATGGATTCAAACATTTATGCCACTGACCAGTTGTTTGTTTCGTTAAGGGGGAAACAAAGTATACAGTGTAAACAAAGTATGGTATCTGATGATGGATTTGTAATGTTAAAATCTGAAAGACTTGGCGGTTACCATTCGAGTTTCAGAAAAGCACTTGGCCGAGAGGTTATAGACAAATGGTATTCTGTAGAATCAAGGAATTATTTTAACCCTTATATATATATATATATATATATATCTTGCATGCTGTAGTCTAAATTGTGCTTAGCAAGCTAATGTTATTGAAAGCAATAGGGTCTATAGCGGTCTTATTTTGCGTAAAGGTAATCAAAAATGTATATTCACCCTAATAAATTAGGATTAATAGCTATTAGAATACAACTAGCATAAACAGTTTTTATGCAGTTTGTTCATTTTAGCCAAACTAAAATGTTATTAGTGATATTGCAGTTATTGTGTGTACTCAGTCTTTTAGCGGAAGTTTATCATTTTTAAATCGTCTAAGGGTTGAGAATAGCTTACTAGGAAAAGAATTAATGCACAAAATATGCTACACAGTCCAAGGGTATGGCTCCTTACTTAATGCATGAAAAACAGGCAAATATATTTCAATGCATGCAATAATTCACTTTATAACAACTTAATTTTTTAATTGTAGGTTCCACGTGATGACAAATTTAAAATCGGCAATTCATATACTGATTCTTGTACTGCAATTCCTGTATTAACAGAAATAGCCCCACAAATGTCAGAAAGTATAAAAGTGGTGCAACAGGTATTAAAACATGTAGAATTATCTGAATTTCATTAAATCCTTATCTTCTAATTGCAAGTTACTGCTTATCAAATTAGAATGGTTGGCCACTGAATATATTAACCAATCACGCCCTGATTAAAATGAAAGTTACTGCTGAAATTAAGCCAATTTCCATTAGAGGAACTACTTTTGTCAATACTATGTAAAAATGGCAAAAAATGTTTACAAAAAAGGAAATGGCTCATGAGCACTTGCAATTCCTGAAATTTCATAGGACGTTGCCAGTTACAGGATTTAATTTTTGTACTTGGTGCATGCAAGAGAATTCTAAAAGATTGTTGGTAAAATGCCTAATGTGTTTTTTTTTTTTACCTTTTGGAAGTGAATTGGCCAAATTAATTGTGTGATTTTGGGTCTAAAAGTTACACTTGAATAATGGATTACAAATGGGATTTTTACACTAACTGCTGTAACAGGAAACCATGACTACTGAAAATGTTGGCTGTAAATAAGTAAACTATGCATTTCAGAAATGACAGTGGGAGACACAGGGCATGTTTTGTGGAGACTCTCTCTGGCTTTGTAAAAACTGCGAACACTGCACCCAGTAATTTTAGCAATAAAAGCAGCATGGTGCCAATTGCACAAAATGGTGGTGGTTCATTATTTGGGTCTGCCCTTATTCATTTAGTAGTCACTCAACAACGATCCCTTCAAGTGTGATTCTGAACTCGCCATGTAAGGCTGTAGACTTGACTGTCAAGATGGTCTAATAAATCAACAATACCACTCTATCAATTTACAGTACACTTAGATGTTCTTCAGAAACAGCCAGAAAAATGATTGCAAAATTATCATACAAAAACCTTTATTCTAATTTATTGAAACCTTTCTGAAAGTATCACTGAAAGTATTCATACTGCTTAATAATAATGTAAATGTGGACACAAGCATGTATAAGTCTTGTCCACCAATGAATCTTTTCTTTGAATATGCTCAGCTGTTTCTCTTTTTGTGTGGTTAAACACAAATCTTTATTGATATTGTTTCAATAAATATACAACTTGTAAATCACACCTAAAAACTCATGCCAAAACAGAATTAAAGTTTGTAATGTATTTTTCTAGCCACTGGCTAATTGCTCAGGGCACAACTGCTACATTTAATGTTTCCCAAGCACTAAAACACAAAAACTAATGGTCAATGTCAAGTGAAAGTTCTTTTGTCGTGTCTTGGCTGAATTTTGCTCCTTTCAGCTGCCTCTGTATAACAACCATATGCTCCAAAATTCCATCCAATTCTTGTTTTAACTGGAAGGCAACCATAGATAAAGAGGGATTACTAAGGAATCTTCTCCATCACAGTAACAATTATTCCAGCTTTTACATTATTTTATTACCCATCTCTAATTTTTATAATGCTACTGCACATACTCCACCCTAATGTGCATTAATTATTCCAGTCCCACTGGACAAATTTAAAAACTTTGAGTCTTAGAATCATTTAGTTAATTAGGCTCAACTTACCTTATCAAGACTCTTTCTGATGGTACCAGGCTCAAAAGTCACATCAGATGCTTTGATTACGCTACTGGTTTTAAAACTGTAGCTATAAAAAAAAAGAGGAGAAATTTTGTCATTTCAAATATATCACTCCTATGATTATGAATCGTTTTGACAGACCATTCATATAAATGTCATTAGGGCTTGGGACTTGAATGTGGAGGCAAGAGACTCCAGTAATTAAAGTTCATATTAGTTTCTGTACTGCACATTCATCAGCACATTTTCTTTATTGATTTCTATAAGAAATGGAGGGAATACATTTAGTCATCTATGCTATTTTTAATACATCATGAACAGATTAAAATATTTTTGCACTAGAATTTTCCTCTGCGATCAATGAAGTTCATTCAAATTTTTGAAGAAGCTAAACTGTCTCAGATGTCTCAAACTTGGCCACCAAAACAAAAGGACAGTCAACCTTAGAATTCACAGAAGCCAAACCTGTCAGAAAATGTGTCCCAATTGTTTAGTTTTCCAGAATCATTAATTGCTTATTTCTCTATGGAATTAAGGCCATGTTAATTGGCCGTAAATAACCAGAATCATGTTTTTTTAAACAAGGAGCAGTCTGCCACATTACAATTTCATCAGCTGTGAAACTAGGAGATGCACACACCTGTAACTACAACAGTCAGCAGAGCATAAGGGAGCTCAATGTCAGTACATACAGAAATCAATAAATTAAAAATGGGTTTGGCTTGCAGCTATGCAGCATAAAACAAAGACAAATACTCACCAGCTTATGTTTTCCTTCTGTAAAAGACAAAGGCTACGAAGTACAGATAAATGTTTTGTGGTGGAATTTAGGATGATTCCCACGCAGCGAAAACAGCCAGAACACTGAAGAGCATTGTAAGTACTGGAGGGAGGGACACACATTAAGATACAGGTTTTAAATCTCACTGCGGTCAAAATCATGAATTACCAATTGCCACACACCCTTTAAGAACTTACTGAAATAGCCATTTAACAAACTTCAACTAAAAGAAATGCTGTTTTATGCCATACTGTCAGTGCTACCCTGTAAAAAGTATAAGGAAGTTAACGTCTCCACGGTGAATACAACAATCATCACAGACTGATCCGATTTCCATCCCCAGTAATTCTTATTGTTATAAACTGTCAGGATCTCAATAATTCACCTTGGTGGTGGTAGTGGTGGGGGGTAAATACAAAAATAGTAAATTATATTTAGTGTGTAATGAATATGTGATGATTCTTGTCTGTTTTTGTTTATATGTTCCAAGTTAACCTGTAGACATTATTGCACTTACCATCCAGTTAACGGTCCTTGCACTTGAAACCCCAGCTCTTCCTTAATTGTTACATGTTTGGTTACTCCTGTCAAGACAAATGTTACTGGAACGTAAGTTTGTAATTTAAGTGTTTCATGGACTTCAACAATACAATTTTTTTTTCATAACTGACCAGACTGAATGACTTTATTAAGGCACATATTAATTAAAGTAAAGTAGGAGTAGCAACTAGAATGCTTAATCTCTAATTAAACTGGATCCAGTTTGCTGTCGTGGACAATGATAAAGAAGCGAATTGAAAGTGAATGGATTTCGTTTCGTGCCCCCCTCCTCTTTTTGTGTCCCGTGCTTCCTGAAAAATGGGTCCATGTATTAAGAGGTATGGAAAACTGATGGACAACTGTGGGTAAGCTGAAAAGGTATTGCTGCCTGTTGCCTATAGATGACCATCTTGATAGTCTCCTATGCATAATTAACAAATTAGGCAATTATTCTATACGACAAAAGCTATTCGCGCACCAATTAATGGTACAATTAAAGCGCTGACGTTTCATTCTTTAGGCGCTACGCCCAATGAACATCTACCTGATGGTCACGATACAGATACACAAGAATTCTTTATTTCTCGAATACCCAGTTTTTGCTCCCCTATTAGACGTGGACATATACAGGAGAAAATGAACCATGGAGTCAAAGGGTCAGCCATTCACCCAGCGCATTAATAATCTCTGTCCTACTCAACAGCTCACTCAGTCACTGATGCAACTACTCTGCCGACCTGATAGGAAACGGCGACCTTCCCATCCCAGGAATCGTGCATCGCCTCTACACGTGTAAATGCTAAATGTCGATCTGCATTCGTGCTAGTTTCCTTTTTTTGTCGGCTGTTGTACCTCCGAGTTATACTCTTTTTAAGTATTTCATTGTACACTGCACTACACAGGAAAAGAACCCAGAACCTCAGTTTGTAATTAAACAGCATGACGAAGTATTTAAATTCTGAGAATACTACTACGGTACATTCTTTAGTTGTTGCATTCATTAAAACCATAAAATTCGACCCACTATTAATGGTTACCTTAGTAAGAAACCGGACATCAGTAATAGAATATAATCACTTAGAACATTTATTGCACGTGGCAGCTGTCATTTTGATAACATGTAAAGCGCGCTACTCACGAGCACATATAATGGAATTCAGCTTCTTGTATTCGCCACAAACTTCAAATGTATCACTCAGAACTGTGTAGCACGCCCCACAGTGCAGAACCACGGCGTTTCGGTGATCTGCTTCAGGTTCCACGTTACTAATGATGCTTGTCAACAGTTCACTACAGTCCGTCGTCTCCTCATCGCTCTTCAGTCCATATTTATGCATGAAACTCGGAGAACTATTCCTTATTTCTCTTCTGTAGTGTTTTAGCATCCTTCCGTCGATACTTAAATAAATCAACCAGCCCAACAATCCAGCCTTGCTCTTAAACCAGACCCTCATGCAGCGTAACATTTACAATTTCTTAAGCTTATTGGCTAAGCCAATAGCAGCTCAGAGCGTTTAGTACGATTGAAAACAAACCCTGATACAGACCACCGATTGGCCAGAATGCGAACACGTCAGAGGTGAGTCCACAAATCAAAAGGCTTGGATCACAAATTTGAAACGTGTAATGAAAAACCGCCTGTATGATTTCAACCGATGTGGAAAACGAACTTAGAAGATATACGTGAATTATTGCCCTCCTTCGAGTTGTTGTTACTAATTTCACAACATTTGGAATATAATATGGATTTGAGCTCGCTCAAGTATGCAGATTTGCAGAAACTGGCTAAAGATGTTGGTCTCAAAGCAAATATGAAGGTATGTTATATATGGATTTGTGCAGCGAATACGACTTCTGATAGGACTTCTCAGCGATCTAGATGAAGCCTTTTCCAGTGAAATGGTTTACCATTTAAATTCGTAGGTTGCTTATTTACAGCGGTGTTATCTTTAAATTAATCTATGCCATTAATGTTTGGTTTGTGGATTTTAGAACTGTTTTTCTTTTTCCCCACTAAGGCTGATAAATTGTTGAAAGCGCTGAACCGATATTATCAAGAACAGGAATATCATGTAGAATGTGTAAGTAAACAACTGTCTGATATTTTATAACATCTGCTTTCTTTGTGCCTATTGTTTGATTTTTACCAATTCACCTTTTGACTCTAACGTTTAAATTGTGGTAACATTAAATGGCAGATTTTTTCATATATTTGTGTACTTAAATTAATAGAATTAATTTCCGTAATTGACTTTTACTATAAGAATTTCCCCCCTGGGATCAATGAAGTTAATTCTAATTTCAAGATCCTCCCATACCAAACACACTTACTTAGCTTACTGCTGTCTGTCTTTCAGCCATCGTGATTTAATGTTTGCAACTTGGAGAAACACTAATAGCCTGTTTTTTGCATCATTACTCCGCCTGCCGCCGTATTCGAGGTGGCAACCCTTCAGATCGGCTACTCACATGAGAAATATGTCTATGTTTGTGTACTCACCTGACAGCCGTACGCCACCTTCCCAGTCTCATGTTTAGATCGATGAAACGGCATTACAGAAGATGAATAGTCCAGCCTTGTTCTTAAAGCGAATTGTGGTTAATTTCAAGCACATTTTAACATTTTCCCTTCTTACATTTAAATAAATGCTGATCGTTTTCTGTTATAGGGAAATACACTTAGTGCCGATAATTCTCAGCTTGACGAGCCAAGCGATGTTCCGCCGTCCACTGACAGCGGTGCGTTCGTCACGAAGCATCGTGGCAGAGGCAAAAAATCTAAGAATAAGCAAGCAAATGAAAAAGACGATGGAGCTGAAAGTGCCTTGATCTTGGCAGGAAATCTGGATCAGGTAGTAATTTTCTTATTTTTACAATGAGAAATACACAAGTTGAATTCAAATCAGTTTCTTGTGTTTTTACTGGATTCGTATGTGTATGCTCAATTTGTGAACCTTCTATCTACTGGCAAGCTTTCTACACAAACATGGTATACATGTTAATTGACTGTTTAATAGATGGATGAAAAAATGGATGAACCGAGCTTCAAGAAGAGGAGGCTTTCTGAAGTGCAGCCTGAAATACCTACAACTGCTACAGTATCAGTGGGGGAAAGAGACATGCAGTCTGAAACTGCTTCTGCAAAGAATGGCTTAGAAGCTGGGAAAGGTTGGTGTGTGTGTGAGAGAGAGAGATATTAATGTAGTGAGGCTTTGTATCCAGGACACAAGATGTACTGTGAAACAATGTCTCTGTTATTTCCACATAAAACTACCACAGAATACATCAATGAATAAGCAGGCACTGCTTTCAGAGGTAGTATGCAACACTATTGATGGGATTTACAAATCTTTGTTTTCCATTTTCTATGGATTAGGTTAAGCATTGTGTAAGTGCTTTTGACATCTTAAATGACATTTGATATTTTTGGTTTGTTTTAATCTCATTTTGATACAGCATCCAAAACATCTTAATTTCGGTGTCACCATGTGACTTTTTCCTTAGGGGAAGGTAAAAACGTGAGACCTGGTAAAATCCCACGCCACGAAGGACTCCTGAAGAAACAATGCAGACCTGCACTCAAGCCGACCACACCTAGTAAGAAAATGACAGCACAGATGTACAAAGTGCTCAGTCTCTACATCAAAGATGCTATGGAATTTTTCACTAGTGCATAAATCTACTTAAGTTGTATTATTGTCTGTTTAAGACTTCAAGAAACTCCATGAAGCACATTTTAACAAGATGGAATCCATTGACTCCTATGTCCAAAGAAAAGCCAAGCAAATAGAGGTATATAAGACTTCTGTAAAGGAATTAAAGGTAAATCGTTCTTGACTTCTGAGCCTGTTCATGTAAATTTTAACTGGGCGCTGCTACGGGTGGCTGCCCTTCGCGGACAACTTGCTCTACAAAAAAGAGCAAGTTGAGGGAGGCGTAAAAACAATTTCCCCACAGGGATTAATAAAGTGTTCATTATTATTATTATTGGTAGCCGTGTAGTCAGTATTGAATCCGGGTGACTATGTAGTCTGCACTCCTACAGAATGTCTTTGTTTTCTATCTAGGCCTTCAGGCTTCCTAATGGCATGATCATTGTTATGATGTCAATTATCCTTATATATTCTTTCTCCCTCCCAGATGATCTCTGAGAAGACTATTCCAAAATCAGCAGATAAAGGAATTATGGTTAGTACATCGCACATTGAACAAGCTGTTACAGATATCTGGTTAACAGGTGTATTAATAAATGTCCAGAGAACTGCATTCTGTTATGGACTGTGAAGACAATGTGAAAATGTCTAACGAAAGTATTAACTAACTGTAGTCCACGTTTGTGTGTTCTCCAGAAACCAGCAGCAACCCGTGTTTCCCTGTTCAGTCCAGTGCCTAAGGGGAAAAGACCTAAGTCTGAAACCCGCCGGCTTACTCAGCCTTCTGCGAGAAAGCCTGCCCCGAAGGATAATGGCGTCTTCGTACCCACTGTCATGTCCGCACGAAAGATCAGTGTCAGGTTAGTAATCCTTGTCCTTATTAGTAAACTCAATAACATCTACAAAACTAATTTCTACCATGAGGAAAACCGATCACAGAAAATTGTGTAGTCTTTGATTCATTAACATTTTACATGCCTGGCAGTTTTGCTTTTTGGCAGCTTGTAAGATACCATGCTAAGAGGCGTGTGAGCTCTTCGTTAAATAGTGCAATTAAACTTCGATCAAGGTTAGACTGTCTTGATAGTGGAAATGGTCTGCAAAGTTTCCACTTTAATTCGTGCTATGTTCGCCTCATTTTATTTCGAAATGGTAATGCTCTGACTGTGCTTAGTTTAACCACTGAAACCATGTTTGGTTGTTCTGCAGATTTTCACAGACGACCCTGGACAACGAGCATAAGCGTTCCTTGGTGAAGACGCCAGCACGCATGTCTCCGTTTGGGGACTCTAATTTGACTCCTCGGCCTGTTTCACGGATAAAGCCTGAAACGAAGCCTGCACTGAATACCAGCATTATCAAGACGCCAGGTAATTCTTTGGAGGTAGAAAGAGCAACTATGGCATAAGAATTTGTGTTCCTTGGAACATGTAACAGTAATACTCAAACCAAAAAAAGCCTATATAAAATTATGGTTTTAGACAATTTTGTCCAAAGTAACATACAAGTGAGGCAAACAGCACATTGCAAACATTCATACAGTCAGTCGGCTAGATCTGAGTGCGGGGTCCCGCTCTACAATGAGGTTCCCTTTGCCACTTGTGAATGGTAGTAACTCATTAATAAAAAAAAGAACTGTTGTAACCTGTTTAAAATTGTCTAGTAATTTATAAAGTGGTACAACCTAATTAATAACCAGATTATAAACCATTCATAAACTCTTTATACGGGAAGTGGCACCGAGTGGCTAAGCAGTGCTTCCAGTGAATGTCACGGTATAAGTGTAAGCAGTATTGGAGCAGGCAGCTACACAGTGGCTGTTAAAGTAGGAACCTAATAAGACTTATGTAACTGGCCGGGGGGGTTCTGTAATTTTATTTATTTTTTTTTTAAGGGACTGCTTTTGTTTTTACTGGAAATACAAGCACTTCCACTACTCCTGGCACGAATAAGAAGAATACATTTGATCTGAAGGCTAGTCTCTCCCGGCCCCTTTCCTATGAACCACACAAAGGTGAGATCATATTTCTGCAATATTATAAATGGATGGCTATCGTTCGTGCTGTACTGCATACTTCAGCTATTCGATACGTATTTTTAGGAAAGCTGAAGCCATTTGGGATGACTCAGGAGAACACAGCCCTAAACAGGTCTCAGTCAACTCAGTCACATCAGAAGAAGTATAAGCAGCACCAGGTACAAACAAGGTGAGTATGCATTACTACCATATTTCCAGTAACTTAAGTCTGTGTCCTTAAATCTCCCAAAATTGTGTACTGGGCTTAATATAAAAATAAGTATAACATACCTTGTCTGGTTTGGCTTGGAATATATCAGACTGAACCTCCCTGATATTTTGATGGAAATCATTTATAAAATTTAAAGTTTGTTTTCACAGCTGAATAATGCTAAGTGCTCTGCTTTTAACATATCATCTCCTACTAAGCTGACTTGATTATGTGGTATGTGTCTAATAAAATGTGTAGTAATTTGAGTTGTGTTTTTGCCTCTTTAGAATTGCGCTAATTCCCACCTCAATTGCATTCATATATTTTTAAGCATTTACATTCTTGCATATGCTTATATGATATGAGTGACAATTTTGTAATCGTCAGCTATGCTTTGTTCAAGATTTAGCTTTAAGAACATCAGTATCCCCCTTTCGATCTCTCTATTTTCTGTTATACCGTAAAGCAGTATTTTGCAACCCAGTCCCTCAGACTCCCAGACACCACATTTTTGCTCCTTCCCAGCTCCGTGGGACAAAAATGTGGGCTGTCTGGGGGGGTCCCCGAGGACTGAGTTGGGAAACACTGCTTTAAAGGGTTCTGATGTCTGAAATGAAAGTCTTATGATTACAGTTAAGATGTACTTCTCCATGCATTTTGATCTTAAGGGAGGACCGTCGCACAAAACAAATGGAGGACAGGAAGCAGAAGAAGGAGAAAGTCCTTGGTGCAAGGAGAGGCCTTGTCTTGACCTAGGAGTCTCAATTCCAAGAAGTTTCTTTGTATATGTACCACATATGACTTTGTGTAGATTTGTTTATGTATCCTTTGCACCTGTTACTTTTTTATCGTAGTTGCATAGTTTTTATAAGCCAAGTCAATTTGCAATTGCATGTTTATTTGTGCATCTCTGCACAAAATGTTCTTTGCTGTATTTTATATCAACTGTAACAGAGGTTAAAACCACATCGGTTCGTTGTACTCTCATGTCTAAAGCCAGCCAATTCAGTGTCTTAAACCTCTGGGTTCCTTTTGTACAATTCATAGGCAAAGTCCTCTGTGTGGGCTCGGTCATTGCAAACGCCAATGAAATCAATTTCCAGTTGAAATGGGCCATCTGCTTTATCAGCCAGGGTGAATGCAATTGTGTTCACCTAAGAAAGCAAAAAAAAAGAGAAGAAATAAAAATGAAGAAAGATGGATAACGCAAACATATTGTACTCTCTGTACTTCATTAATAAAATTCTTGTTCTAATTTAATGTGCTGTCCAGCTTGACCCGATTGTGGCTAAAATTGATACCAACCTTGTCCAGCCATATAGGGTGCTGATTATCTTGTATTCTCCCTCGACTGGAAAGGAAAAATTTTGAAAATGGAATCTGAAACAGATAATTTTACAAAGTTGTGGAATCTCATTGACTGATAACACAATGTGTTCAGTGTGACTTGGCCTCAGTGCCCATTTGAGTCCAGCCTCATCACAGCTGTGGTTCCTTAATCCCCAGCTGCCTGGGTGCTGCTACGGGCGGCTGCCCCTCACAGCCAGCTTACTCTCACCTAGAGAGCAAGTTGGGGGAGGTGTAACGAGAATTTCCCCACAGGGATCAATAAAGTATTTTATTTTTCTCCAAGAAGAATTTGTAGATTAGGATATTTAAAACTGGTTAGCTCTGAAGGCTGGGGTTTAATGTCAGCCCACAGGTATATGTGTGTTCTTATCTTCTGGTATCAATGGTGTTTTTCTCTACAAAAACATGTCATCTGGTTGTATGTCCTGTGATAAACTGGCATTGTGTATGGATTGTCCCCCCCCTTGTGCTCTATACCAGGTTAATGGTAAGAATGGAACCTGTACTGGGTAAGTAGCTTTATGGGCAAATGTTTGTATTCTCAAACTGATCCTTAAACTCTATTTTATCCAAAACAGTCTTACGTGCAGGATAAAAGTGATACCAAGCAAATAAACCACAAAAATATAGTGTAATGTGCTTCACTAACTCATTGTTAAGCTTCACTAAGCTTAAACATTATACAGGATTCTATATATCTCTCAATAGAACTAAAATGCATTGAATTGAAAATGCAATTTTTATTATTCCTTTAGGTCTATATTACTGGCTAAAAGTAAAAGTACCACCCCCCCAAAAAAGATGACAAAAACTCTTTGTACCTTAACATCTTGCCAGTATGGTCCACCCCTTGTATACAAAAAGTAGTTGTACATATCATTCTTCTGGTGTGAGAAGTAAGTCTCTGTCGCAATATTTATCATCCACGGTCGTCCATCGCCACGAATACGAAGATGCAAAGTGTTAAAACTTGTCCAGTCAATATGCTTCTTCCTGTCAAATGAACTCTACAGAATAAAATATTCTAAATTAAATTCTCACCAAAACGAGAATTTGAGAGGTATTTTATTTTCCTTTAACTTACCAGGAGCCGTCTGGAGCACAATGTGCAATATCCGCTGTACCGTGTCTCTCCATCCCGCGGGGGAGTGGAACACAGTGTACCATGCACCAGACAGGTGCTGATGTTTTTGCTCAGTTCCAGGTACACCTCACTCCGCCCTCCAATTTCTTGGTCTGACGAGACAATCCACTGTTTGAGACTGTCAGGGCCCCGGAAATCCCACTGAACTCTGGTCTGTTCTAGCATGTGCTCCTTCAGTGGCCGTCCTTGTGGTCCCACCCAGCGGCCCAATATCTCCTCCTTCAATAGCCCAAAATGCTTCTGCACCCCCTCCACACCTTTGGCGAAACTGAAACGGATCTTCTTCCATGGTGGAGAGTTGTCCCGGGGCTGACCAGCCCTTCTGTACTCCCCGTAAAACGACGTCCGACTACCACATATCACGGGGCAAGAAAGCAACGAGTGTGCAAGAAAACACTTGCCATTATAATTTTTTAGCGTCCTGGCCAAAATCGATGCCATGCGTTTTTCTCCTGAATATAATTATTTAGATGAATAAATTCCTAAACGTATTGTACTTGCATGTCATGTGTCCGTTTGCCCAGCTTAATTAAATCGGTAGCTACTCAAACTAAATGAAATCATGCGTACAAAGACGACCTGGTTATTCTGTAATTATCAATCCTGTCAACAATCTGAACAAGATATCCAATACGACTAACGGTATAACGTGCGTTTGTTTAAATGAACATAGCTAACAACAAAATAGATGATAAACAGATAATGACTCAGCCAGCGCCTTAATATTGTATGTAATGTTGTAATGAAAATGCGTTTCTGCTTAGGAGTTTCACATACAACAAACTGAACTGAATCAAGTGAAAGGCAAGTCACCTTACTACTCAAAATGAACTTCAGCGTACATCGGATACCATCCAAGTTGGCGCCGCAAGTATTTCATGCCGGCGGAAACATTATAAAGTGAATTTCAGTTCCTAGTAGCTCTGCACATTTCGCAAAACTGCTTTTTGAAACATTACAATGGCGCTGCAGTCTTCTCAGTAAGCCTAAATATTTGAATGTCAGCTTACAGTATACAGCCTTTTAATTTTGCAAACAAATAACTGGAGCAACAATTGCAACTTCTTTCTTACTACTTCTGATACTTCTGTCAAGTGGGGACAGCATCGCTGAAATGATTTTAAAATAAATAAATATCCTTCAATCCGGAAAATATCTGCACGTATATCTGCAAATTTGAACAAAACATGTTGTGCGTGTTCATGCTATTATTCCAGATTGATTTTGTAATATTTAAGTGTTATTGCATTTCTGTTCGGACGTGGGGGGGTTCAACTCCATAGATTTTACCCTATTATCATTTAAAAGAGCAGGTCTGATGTATAAGGGCTTAAACAGAGGAATAGTTCCATTACTGAATTGCTCGTATATCTAAGCTAATGCTACTGAAATATAAACAATAATAAAGCTGTGCAACCAATGATTTCAAATAATACAAACCCATTCCATATTATTTTTTTTTTATGAATTTGGTCTACATATTGTTGCTTACCTGGTGATTTTTTTAGCTATTATTACAATACAGTGTACTGCATAAACACAGGCGCACATTTCACTTGCATTTCGTCCTTCGGAGCTATAGATGGCAGCAGTATATATTTCGTACATTGTTTGCTGCAAGCAATAAAACATAGAATATTGAAAAAAATAAAGAAGCGGAGTGACGTAATGGTCGCGCATGCTCAGAGAGTCCGCAGAGTCTTTGTGTAGAAGGCTGTGGGGCTAGCGCTGTTTCGCTCGTGCTTACCAAACGTATTCCCAGGTAATCATGGTGAATGTAAAGAAGCGGAAAGGACGAGTCGTAATTGACTCCGACTCTGAAGACAGCGCGAGTGATGACAATTTAGATCAGGTAAGAAGTCGTTCAATGTTTCAGCACGATCGATCTTATATTGGACTTAATGTTAATAAAGGTGCTTTGAGTGTTCAGAAAAAAAACCCGCGCCACGGGCCTGTCTAATCGGGTTGAACTGGTCGTCTTAATTTGGCGTTAGTAGGCTAATTGCTAAAGACGTTGAATCTAATGTGTTTATCGTTTTATGAAGAAAGGTCATCAACTAAATGTAGCGCGTCATAGCGTTGTTCATTAACCCTGGAAAATAAGGGACTATACACCGTCTTTGGATTGCAAACTGCCGCATTATAGCGGAGTGTTTACTACTCGGTGGAGAGCTGCTGTGGTACTTTATGGTGGACTGTTTGCTAACAGTGCTCCCTCGCAACTGGCTGCTACTCGTTTGCTTGAAAATGTTCCGGATTCTTTGACCGATTACGCACTTTGACTGCCTTTTAATTTGATAATTGGAAAAAGAAGCACGGCTAAAAACTACGAGGATCTTTCTATTTGGCTTGCTCGTTAATTTTTGAAACTGAAAGCGATCAGTTGTGGTGGCTGTCTAGCCAAGTTTATTGCAAATTGATATCGTTACCTTTCCATATATGTAAAAAATTACTTCAAGGAATGACTGCCATTTTTCTTGTGGCAGGTTGTCTTAATATTACAAGTTATTAATTGCTAATCACCTCGCTACAGTTTCAGATCTGTATACATATAACATGACAGCAGATTGCTTTGGACCATAGCCAGTATGTTTCGACGTATATCCACAGTTTGTTGTGTTTACACCTGTTGGTGCTACATATTTTGTATTCGTACTATAACAGCTACTCTACCATGAAACAGAGGCATTTCATCGTGTTCGCAGAATGATCTGTTAACTTGAGTTGAGTCTAAAAAAAAACTTAAACTCTTCGTTTGTCACTGTCTAATAAGAATAACCTGACGTACGACTAAATTTAAAATAAATCTTAAATTATACGCCGCATGCGACATGTTACTAAATTTCGGAAAACGTTATAAGCCTATGTGAACGTGTTAAACATTTTATTTCTTGCATACATTTTTAATGCTCCCTTTTACCAGAGCTAGCTCGGGTTTGTGGGCGTGCCTTCAGAATTAAATGGGACACTGTAAGACATCATGTTGACAGCTAAGTTGGTCAGAACACTTACCTTTATGTATTTATAATGCATATTCAGATATATTTTGTTGTAAAAATGTACTTTATATATTTAATGAGAACTATGCAAATGTTTTGAGTGGAGAGATGTTGATGTGAGTAGACTGTTCCACATAAAACGATGCAGACAGATTTGAAATGAATACTGTAATCTTTTGTCTTAGCAGTACATTTTAAAATGCTAACTTGAGTTTTGGGTTGTGCTGTGGCATATTAAATGATGCCTTACACCGTAATACCTGCCTTTGATCTACAAGTAATCAATAATAAAGGTAGGATGTTTGATCCAAATATAAACATTGTGTTACTGGCCTAATAATGATGTAAAAAGCCTTTATGACGCTGTACACAGCATGCGTTTTTATTTTTCAGAGAAATACTACCAAAATATCTTTATTCAGTATTTTTTGCAGTTTCTACCTTTAAAAAGCAATACATTTTTCCCTATTAGTGTTGTGTAAGTGCTGAAATTTCTGAACATTAGTTTGATACACTTGTAATTTGGTTCATTGTTAGACCATCTCACAAATCACTGAAATTTAACTTGGGGATATTGTATTATCTTTGTAACATGATATCTGGGAGTGTCAATAACTTATGACAAAAAAAATAAATAATGTTTACTTTGTAATGACCCAAATATTTTTGTTTTAATAATGTCACGCATGGGCACAGTGTCAGGCAGTTGCCGTCAGACATGCTGTGTGACCACTGACAGTCTAGACTGAACCTATATTCTGAGGATTTTACATTATTATCAAAATGAATCTAAGTGTGAGCGAGTGGCAAAATAATTTGGTGTATGCAATGCCTTAGATAACCACTGGGCTAGATTTTCTAAAAATAGTATGAGCAAAAATAGTTACCTTGAGCAAAAGCTTATTTTACTATTACTAACTGCCAAAGTGCTAGCTTTTAAATTACACGCCCCTTTAGTAATTTACGTGTTTCATGGGCTAGAACAAGTATCAGGGAATAGGTGACATCAGAGAAGGCTGTGTTTTTTTTTTTTTATTGGTATGGGAAACGCAAAAGCGTTTAATGTCTTAGGTCTGTCTGTGGTGCTGGAAGTGTCACTGATATGGAAGTTCACTCTTTAATTACGATGAGAATTGTCATGTTATACCAAGTCCTTTATGCAAAACTTTATTTCAAACGTCAGTTGTCAAGGAAATTTTTTGTTATATTGTATCGAGGCTTCTCTTGGGATAAAGAATTGTATTGATTAAAATGTGAGTTTTACTAAAACTCATGTGATCCCATCCTATGTTTTTTTACATTGAGGCTTTTGAACAGGGCTTGATACACATTACTGAACTGCTAAATGTGCACATTTGTTTTTTTCAGTAAAGCCTTTGACAGAAGCCACATTTTAACACCTTAAGTACATTTACATTGAGCTTAAGAATGGTTTCCTCTCTATCAGGAATTGCTGTCTTTGGCTAAGAGGAAGAGGGTGGACTCTGAAGAACAGGAGGAGCCAGCAAGCAAGCCAACAGCTTCTACTGATTCAGAAACCTCTGACAGTGATGATGAGGTATTGGGGATCGCCACTTTACCATTTGTCAGATAATGTAATGGTATTTTCTGTTGAGTTATGTTAAACTAGAAATTAAAGTCAGGTTTTCAGGTGAGTAGTAATGATCTCTGGTTTTGCTTTGATCAAGTGTTTTCTTCTGCTTGAGTGTGCGTTTCACTCGCATATGCTGTTGTCAAGAACGTCATTACACTTGGAGCATTCCTTTATTGGCCACACTGGATAATCTGGCTGTCTAGATCCATTCCTTTTCTTTCAGGACTAGTTAGTTATGCTGTGACATTTGTCAGTTCTGACCTGCTCTTACACACGTCTTTAAGTTGAGAATCTTGACCATTAAAATAGCTGTGAAGTGCCCTTATTGCAGCTTTATTTTATTTTTTATTTTTTTGATTTTCAATATTGTTAGGATTCCTCTGTGCTTGGACTGTAGCTGTACAGTGTAAAGTAAGGCATTGTTTTATAACTAACTTTAAACCTGTAATGTAATTAGTGTGATAAAGGGTTTTGAAGCAGAGCTGAGTGGCGCAGTGGAACCATGCTGGACCCATAAATTAGAGGTTGATGGATCAAAAAGATCCTCTGCTAAGAGAATTTAAATTTGCTCTTCCTTGGGGGCTGAAGCGTGGCTTTGCGGGTCATGACTATGTGTCTGAGATTGGAAGTTTGTCAGTTCAAATCCCATTGTTGGGCCTTTGAGCAGGACCCTAACCCCTATTGCTTTTGGGGCACTACATGTGAGCTGACCCTGCATTTTGAACCCAAAACTTGTTCTCATCATTATATGCGAGTTGCAGGCATAAGGTGACAAACAGGAAAATGACCCAATTTCTCCCCAAGGATGAATAAAGTATAGTTATTGTAATTTACGAAAGAGTAAACTTCAGCTAAACGTAATTACTAAGTTTTTGGAATATTTAGTACCTGATGGTTTTCTTTATACATTCTATGACTTAAGTCAAATGATATGAACCTATTTTGTCTGAGTGAAAAACTGAATTCAGGTCTCCAGACTAACTTTTCCAGTGGTAGTACATGATTATTGCACTTTTTTTTGGTGTTAATCAGTGACCTTGCTTGCTGATGAATAGTTGTCATAATTTGCATACCTGAGGTTTTATATTGATGAAAGATTGACAGTGAGTCAAGATTTGATATTTGCGAAATATTTTATTCTAAAAATTAACTCTAATAGCAACTCTCATTACTGGTGTCTCTCCTCCTTTTTCTTCTCTTCTTGTTATTTAATTTAATTTATTTAAATAAACAGCTATAAAGCGTTTAATTTTGGAAACACTTTAACACCACGGCCAAATTGATCATTTCGCATGTTTTGTCGTCATTGCACGCATATGTCCCGCGGGCAGGCAGGGAGACAGCCGCATTTCATTAATGCAGTACCCCTGCCAGAGCAAAACGTCCTAATTATCAAACACTCGCATGGATGCAACCATGTGAAGTTTTAACTTGCACACACTCAGCAAATGGTCGCATGTTCGGCCAGGTTGTTTCATGATGCTGAATGAATCGAACTCCACAGAGTCCTGTGATCTGCTTTTAGTGCATAGAATGCTTATACCTGAAAATGCTTCTTTGCAACTGGTGGGGGAAAACGCATGCAGTGGTCAAGAATGACGATGTTTATTTTTAGTGCTAAACAGTTGGATCACTTGTGTTCAAATTCTTTTCTCTTAAGAGAACATGTGTTGCGTATGCCTGGAGTAGCCGTCAGATTTACACGCTTGATTGCACTGGTAAAGGCTTCTTGCAGCTCTGGTGGTAATGCCCTCATTTACATAGACCTAATGGCTAGATGACTGCACTTACGATTTAGAATGCATGTATGACAATCATGTAGACTTCATACTGTGGCCGTCCATCACACCCACGGATGATCGAATTTGTTTTGCTAAAATTAGGTCTTATTCCTGGATTGTTGGCTGTATGGAGGTTTTGTGATAAGTGAATCTGCTTGATGTGAAAAATCAAAATCTTTTCTTGTGTTATTGTTCTTCAGTTTTTCAAAAATCTTTCTAAAATTTCTCGAGATCCATTTTTAGTAGAGACGTTAAGGTAGTGGTCCACCGATATGGAAATTTTGGGGATAACCAATTTATTTTCGTTTGATATTGCCAACAGTGATACCCAGCTAATGCCTGAGATGGCGGTAAAACTTGCTGATCTTGGAAAATGAAAGCTTGATCTACAGGCCAGATTTAATAATGGATTAAAAATGTTATTGACCGTATAAATCCTTCTTGTGGGCTAAATCTCGGAGACCTCCTACTTGGGGAATGAGTCGATTAAATCCCCCATCCTCCACTGCTGGAAATGGCTGATCATTCAATGCATTCATTTTTATTATTTTAATATTTATGTGTTTGATATTCAAAGTTAGAAGCACCAAAGCTAGTCAGCAACATCGGCTAAGTTTGACCCTTAGTGTTGTATATGTTGGTTCTGGGCGGTATGGACTAAAAACCATATTTCATTTTTTTACGCAGAATAGCAACACACTCATACTCAGTACTTAAAATGAAGTGTGATTAATGTTCTGTTGTCAGTTGCCAATTGTATGAAAAAACTTTAAAACTAAAGTGACAATTAAAGTGTGGTCAAAACAAAATGTAAATACATGGCTTCCTTCCCTGTACAATTCAATACAGAATTTTTTTCTTTATTCCAAACAGAAGTATTAGGATTGCAGTGGTCAAATATATAACGCTATATAAAAGCGTTTCACTCCACTATGTCCATCAAACTTTTCTTTCTCGGTTCATGACATTGCCCTCAAAACCAAATGTTAAAGTAAAAAAATCGAAATCTCAAATTTATTTGACAAATGGCTCTAAAACAGAAGCCTAACAACAATTGAAAGTGTACTTAATTACTGTAAAGATCCTTGTTTTGAAGTATTTGCCTTCAGTAAAAGAAAAATATTGCCTATTATGATATTTTTAACCTGCAAGTCGTCTGTCAATTAAAAAAAAAAAAATAATAAAATAGGCCAAATAGCCAATAGATCATGGCAGATGACCTGGTACTGGAGTGTACCACTTTGAATGGAAGAAGAGTCCTGGGTTCATTAGCAGACGACACTTAAAGACCTCTGCTAAAAGCAAGGTGCCGTTTTAAGTGGTATTACTTTTTAACAGTATTTCTTTGTATTTGCTTGTCAACTCTGCTGAATATAACATGCCAAAATTTTCCCCTGGGGTCAACAAAGTTCGACTTAAATCTTACGTTTCAAGAATAACGCAAGTTCTTGAAGATGAGATGTGTATCCACGCCCCTCTTAATTTTTATCGGTAGTATGCGTTTTTCTTTTTTCCTTCCTCAGTGGACTGTGGGTGGTACCAAGGCCAAGAAGAAGGCAAAGACCGGGAAGGGAAGCGAGAAGAAGGCAGCCGTGAAAAAGCGCACGAACAAGGCGGCCTCCTCCGGCAGCTCCGATGGAGACAGCTCAGCCGAGAGCTCCGCTCCCGAAGAAGGTGAGCTGACAGTGGCAGGCATTCGCTGAAGTAACATCAGCTATGTTAAAGGTGTAAGTTTGGTTTTCCAAAAAATCCATTCTTTTTCTGAGTTTAGTGGCCGGCCGGCACCTCTCTGTGATTTTATGAAAGTTTGTCCATCTGGCTTGTCTGCGCCGCTAGGTGAGGTCTCCGATTCAGAGAGCAACAGCTCGTCCTCCAGCTCAGATTCGGACTCCTCTTCCGAGGACGACGTGTTCCGGGATGGGTACGACGATGACCTGATGGGGGACGAAGAGGACCGAGCAAGGCTGGAGCAGATGACTGAGAAGGAAAGGGAGCAGGAGCTCTTCAACCGAATTGAGAAGAGGGAGGTGCTGAAGAGGAGGTGAGGGCAACCGCATTATTTATTTTATTTTATTTCTTTAAATGTGGCTTAGCGATACCTGAATCCAGGAACTTAGAATTTGTTACTCATTGCGACTCCAGTCATCTATGAGTTACCTGCTGGCTCATTACAGTATTTTGCATTTATTAATAGCTTGCTTGTGAATAAACATTTACTAGTACAAACGTTCCTTGCAATGATAAATATAGGCAGCTTCTCCCTTGTTGCAGAGGATTTTGACGTACCTTATCGACAGCTGTGGTCCATTTTACGGCATTCTTATTACGGCATTGTGGCATCGTGACTTTTGTCCGCTGCCCGCTGCTGCTGTAATTACACACATCCCGCTGATGGTTACATCCGTCACCATTGACTGTTGTCAGGTTTGAAATAAAGAAGAAACTGAAGACTGCCAAAAAAAAGGAAAAGGAGGAGAAGAAGAAAAAGCAGGAGGAGGAGCAGGAGAAAAGGAAGCAGTCTCAGGTCCAGGACACTCAGGTGGTCAGTATGGCAGTCTCTCTCTCGGGCGTCTATGAAATATTCATTGAACTCTGGTCCCTGTGGGAGTCATTTCTGTGATTTTTTTAAATGTATTTTTTACGCTCATTTCTGTGTCCTGTAATGCATTTGCTTTTATTGATATTTTATAGTATATACTTTCAGTTAGCATACTATTCTCTCTGTAATATAAAATATTTTGCCTTTCTTTCGTTCGTTCTTTCGTTCGTTCGTTCTTTCGTTCGTTCGTTCTTTCTTTCGTTCTTCCTTCACTTGAAGGGACATTAGACATGCAGGAATTTCATTATATTGTAATCCTACTTGATACTTTCATATCTGTCTTGTCTTGTTTCACCTACAGTCATTTACAAATTTTATATGAGGTGATCATGACATGCTTAATTCCATACTGATTCATCAACCCAAACAGAAAGCAATGGACAATATTTTTCCGCACACAGTATCCTCTGAGTAACAGAATTATGTGTAAAATCAGATCATTATGCTTGTGTATTGCAGTAACATACAAGTGCAGTATTGCTCCCAACAGCAATTCCTTTGGGCTTTATTAAAGGAAATGAGGCCAGTGTGTATTCGGTCAGATTTTTGTACATATGGGAAGCTGTCACTTACAGAGGCGCCTTTTGTGTTGAATGCTGTGATGTACCTACACCTTAATTTCTTTTTCATGGGTCCAGGTCATGTCTCACAATAAGGAGAGGAGGTCTAAAAGAGACGAAAAACTGGACAAGAAGTCGCAAGCAATGGAGGAGCTGAAAGCGGAGCGAGAGAAAAAGAAGAACAGAACAGGTGCAAGTGTGACTCATGCACGTTTCACTCCTCAAAAAAAAAAAAAAGGAACTTGCAGCTTCCCAGTATCGTTCGTGAACTTTCCCTGCGTCAGTGTGTTTTGCAGCCTTCCATCATAGGGACAAAAACACATCGCTTTATCTAAGGGTTGCCCAGTTCCGGCCAGTCTGCACCACAGTTTGCAGATTTCCCTGCTGAAACGCCCCTTATTCAGCTCACCAAGGTAGGTTTGCTTGAGCAGGGAGACCTGCAAACTGTGGTGCAGAATGGCCCTCCAGGACCGGGATTTGAGGAACACTGTTTTCTGTGGTCTGCATTTGGCAGATAAAATGCTGTTAAAAGACACAAAGCCAGTGTGCCGTCTTGATCTTCTCCCTCTCAACAGCTGAACTCCTGGCCAAGCGACAGCCTCTGAAAACCAGTGAGGTCTACTCTGATGATGAGGAAGAGGAGGAGGAGGATGATGATAAGTCCTCCGTGAAAAGTGACCGTAGCACTCGATCCTCATCTTATGATGAAGAGGAAGAGTAAGTTTCATACTTTGCTGGGTCGTTCTGGCATAGCGTTTTGGGAATTATATTTATATATTTTTATCTGAATAATATAGCAACCTTAAAACATTTTAATTGAATGTGTTGAAGGTCAAAATATGACAAGTAAAGCACTTTTCCACCTATGGGTTTCTATTTATCCATTTAAAAGAAATTGTATTATGCAGTTCTCAATTGTTTTTTGTGTAGCTTTTTGTGACTTAAGTGTTAAATCTGCCTGCAGAATAGGTCTGATTTTAACTGAAACCTGGATAGATCTGATCAATAGGAAGCTTAGTTGACTAGTTGAGCCATCCATCCATCCATCCATTACCGTAACTGCTTAATCCCCAGTGGGGTCGCGGGGGGGCCCGGAGCCTACCCTGGGAACGACAGGCGCAGGTGGGAACCAGCTCGGCAGGCGCCAACACACCGCAGACTAGTTCAGCCAATGAGAAGATTCATGTCCCGTATATAAAGGAAATATTTCATTTTGCAGATGTATTACATTGTGTTGAACCTGTTTCTGGTGTGGTTTAGGAAGGAAGAGACACCACCAAAGTCACAGCCCGTGTCGCTGCCCGATGAGCTGAACCGGATCCGCTTGTCCCGGCACAAGCTGGAACGCTGGTGCCACATGCCCTTCTTTGCCAAGACGGTGACCGGCTGCTTTGTCAGGATTGGAATCGGCAACAGCAGCAGCAAACCAGTCTACAGGGTGAGCAGCCCGGCCTTGTGGTTACAGTTAGTGGTTACGGTCCTATGGAAAGTAGAACCCGAAACGGAAGCACTGCGTCTATCTGGACCGTAATCATAAATGTGAGGAGTTGGTGGAGTGATATGAAAACTGATATTACAAAGGATAGTGCAGTGTTGGAACATCCAGCGTGCAACTTTTCATTTTACTTTCAAGAGAACCATCATGCAATATCTTTTGATGGCAATGATCATATATACTTTAATTATGGTACAGTTTTTATAATCTTTGGTTATTTTTTGCTTTTTTTTGACAAGGTTGCTGAAATTGTTGATGTTGTTGAAACGGCAAAAGTTTATCAGCTGGGCTCAACTAGAACAAACAAAGGTTTACAGTTACGGTGAGTGTATTTCATTCATATAAGCTTTTCATGTTCTTTTGAAGTTTTAAGCTGGATGACATTCGCTGTTTCTCCCACAGACACGGGAATGACACGCGGGTTTTCAGGCTAGAGTTCGTCTCTAACCAGGAGTTCACGGACAATGAGTTCATGAAGTGGAAGGAGGCTGTGAGTCCTTTTCGGAGGCTGAACTTTATGTCTTGCAGAATGTTAAAAAGGGGAACCTGGGAATGGGGGGGGGGGGTAGGGTGGTGAGCTGTAGTGGATAAATTTGACAATTTTGCCTGATTTTGCCAAGTGTCCAGCCTATACTGATGACCACAAATTGCTAGTTTTGATTTTAATATTTTGGCTATTTGCAGATGATACTTGCAGGAATGCAAGTTCCGACTTTAGACGAAATCACCAAAAAGGAGCAAGCAATTAAAGAAGCCGTCAACTACAAATTCAATGACAAAGACATAGAAGACGTAAGTCCACCCTTATGTTTTTGGAATACAGTGAAGTCATTGTTGTTCTCCTAAAGGCAAGGTTTGACTTCATATATTTCATTGAACGTGACTTTACAGATCGTGAAAGAGAAGGACCGTTTCCGAAAAGCTCCACCTAACTATGCCATGAAGAAAACTCAGCTTCTTAAAGAAAAGGTACTATTGCTGAACCAGCCCTCCTCATTTTTAATGTGTGTGGCTTTATTTGTCATTTTACTTAAACGCGTAATGCAAAAGTAGATTTTGTCATATATTGTGTTTCTTTAGTAATAAAATGAGGACAGGAAACGGAACACATACCTGTAACCCGAAATGCCTGACACATGTATACTTTTATTACAGTGGTTGGCAGAGCGGTAATCCCTTGAGTGTGTTCATGTTTCATGGAGATTGATATCTTTTAATGCCCTATCAGGCTATGGCAGAGGAAAGTGGAGATGGGGAACGGGTCAAACAGATTCAGGACCAGCTTAATGAGCTTGAGGAACGGGCTGAGGCGCTGGACCGGCAGAGGACGAAAAACATTTCTGCCATCAGGTGAATTACCCACCATGAATTCAGTTGGAAGCTTTCCAGCCTCAATAATGAAGGATTATCCTTAATACCCGCCTGAGAACACTATAGTCTGTACAAAAAGTAATTTGATATGAAGGAGACCAATAGTCGTAGTATTCAAACTCTTGAGAAATATTTGTATGGCTGCATAATGCACAAGTGGCTTCAGCAAATAAATGCTAATAAAATTCATGCAAAACAAGTTTATTTTTCTCTCTTAATCTGGCCCTGGTGGTTAATGTGGCTAAAACCCGTCAGCAAGTATTAACAAGTCTTGACTAACCAAACTAAGAATTCCCTGCCCTAATGGCATTAGTTACACCCTAATTAGAACTGACTTACTAATAACTTAATAGTTAGACTGTAAAAGGTTTCCCCTAAACTAAGTACTCTGAGTATTACTGACTTCTGTGGGACCCTTTTTTGCTTTCACCAGCTACATCAATCAGAGGAATCGAAGTTGGAACATTGTGGAGTCTGAGAAGGCCCTGGTGGTAGGTCATTTTTACTTTCATACAAGATTTGTGAATATGGTCCTGCGTTTGCGTCTGCTCAAAGGGAAATAGTGACAAGAATGCAAGCTGGGATTCTCTTTCCCATCAGGCAGAAGGGCAGAACTCCAAGAACCAACAAATGGATCCCTTTACCCGACGACAGTGCAAACCAACCATGGTGTCCAATGTAAGGATTCGATATTTGATTTTTTTGCTAAGACAATAATGGCTCCTTATCCCCATGGGGAAATAAGACTACCTGAAGTCATTTAACTTGTCCAGTTAGTTTTCTTTGGGACTGGAATGATTTGCGATATTAATACATGAGAACTGTAGACTCCTTGGCCGCTGCTGGATTTTTGCATGTATTCTATCCAAGTTGTTGCATAGGACGAGTTATGTTTTGTTCAGTTATTTGTAAATACCCTGTCATAAATACCATGTTCTGAGTGCTGGTATACTGATTCTAAATTTGTGTGGGGGCAAAAAAGGAAAATCTGAACAGTTTTTATCTTTCCAGATATCATACCTGGTAGTAAATATTCGCTTATACTAAATTTCCTGTGCATCGTTTTCAGGCCAGAGACCCTTCAGTCCATGCTGCTATTCTTGCTCACCTGAATCAGAAGTACGGTTCCGGTTCAGGACAAGACAATACTGTGGAGAAGAATATACAGGTAGGGGAGACACCGGTGTGATCAGAGTCTGTATGCATGAAGGCAGACATCCATACAAAGTAAAGGAGAAATGTATTCCATAGTACGTATCCACTGTGTATATTTACAGGGACAGCCAGGCCAGAAAGACAAAGACATCGCCAAGACAACCAGTGACCTGTCGGAGGATCTCTTCAAAGTACACGACTTTGATGTCAAAATTGACCTTCAGGTTCCCAATGCAGGTAGGCTGAAATCCTTAATCTTGCAGTGATGTTCACTTAGCAGTGGGGGCACACTTGCAACACTTTAATATTGACAGATGTGTGATTGATTTTGTTTTTTTTTTGTTTTTTGATGGTTAAGGTTGTTGAAAGTTGTCATGTTTTAGGTTTCCAACGAAACATGAGTTTGACTCGAGCTAAAATTTGACTGCTCATTATTTTAGTAAATGTTTATTGCCTTAATGTAATTAGAGAACATACATGATGGTTCTCCCCTGTGCTGTTTAAATTTAGAAGCCAAGTCTCTGTCTGTGAGCTCCAACGCCTTGCCTGTAAAAGACGGCGCCCCTCGCCGATCACTCAACCTGGAGGACTACAAGAAGAGGAGAGGCCTTATCTGAGACTCAGCACCTCCTCGGACCTCCTTGCATGTGTCAGTTAATAGCGGGGAACCTGAAGCTTTGGCTCTCCCCTTGTGTGTGTGTGTGTGTGTGTGTGTGTGTGTGTGTGTGTGTGTGTGTGTGTGTGTGTGTGTGTGTGTGTGTGTGAGAGAGAGAGAGAATGAATGTGTGTGTGTGTGTGTGTGTGTGTGTGTGTGTGTGAATATGTATGCATGTATTTCAATCCCAAAACCCACAGGAAGGAGTTATACATTTTTTTTTTCTTGTAAAGGATTCCTTTTGAGGCAAATTGTCTAGTCATTATTTTCTTTACGTGCAGAATTGTACTTAGATTTTTTTGTTATTTGTTTTTGTCATATGAGAATATACATATATATTTACCCCTTTGGCTCCTCCCAGTTTTACGGTTGGCTTTTCGTTTTTCTGAAAAGGACATTACTCTGGTGGACTGATTTGTAAAAAGAACTTTTTTTTTTTTTTAAATCTGGATGGCTTGGAGTATTTAAACTTTGCAGACCTTACTAGCATGGACATTGAACAAAATTTGTATTTACCATCCAGTTTTGGATTTTTATTTATTTTCTTTTTTTTTCTTCCTTATTTTTTGCACCACCTTCCATTATGTAACTAGGCAGCCCTGCTCTTGTCAAAACCGTCCAACATATACATGATTATTTCGCTTGGGACATGCTGGTGGAAAAAAAAGTTAGGCTTTTCAAGGGAACAAGGTGAGAGACAAGGAATATAACGTAACACAAAACAACTTGAAAAATTTCATTACCTGGGAATTTTTGTTTTTCATAAGGTGGTTTTGGAATGTATAATGGGGTTTTTTTTGTCTCCAGATTCCAGGGCCTAATTAGTTTTTCTTACCCTATTGTTTATGTGAGAAAAGGCTGTGTGTTAATGAATGTGTCCTTAGTAAATTCTTGTATTGATGTGGCATGCCATGTAAATATGCAATTTGGAGTGGGTGCTACACAATAAAGAGTCACTGTTTCATATATTTTGTTTCAATGTGTCTCAATTATAGTAACACCCAGAATCATCAGCAGCATACATGCATGACTTTACATACCTACCTGCAAACTGCTCCAGAATTCAAATCACGCCATTATCCTACATGTCAGTACGACACAAATATACTTTACAAAGGTCAATGTATGTAGAAAGATAGATGACATCATCATCATCATCATCGAAAATCCCAACTGAGAATTTGTATGGAGTGCATGCCAATAGCCCTCCCTTTGTTGGGTCAGTAAGTGGACTTCATTCAAGTGGCCTTGTAGCATTTGTGCATAATCCCAATTTATGGCATTTCCAGAGATTAACATGGTATCTGGAGTTCATTACCTGATCATTCTGTAATCTAGAAATTCTGAACCTACTGTATGCTCTACACAGACATTCTAGCCAATGCAATGTATAAAAATTAAACCCTTAAATACACAGCTGCAGATTACAGTCTGAGTAGTTACACCATCTATAGCAGTGTTTCTCAACCTAGTCATCGAGGAGCCCCAGACTGCTAGCATAGCTGTACCAGGCATTCGGTATTTGATGGCTGGATTGTTTGGTTCAGGTGTGCTGGGACATGGAAGGGAGCAAATATGTGGACTGTCTGGGGGTCCCCAAGGACTGGGTTAAGAAACACTGATCTACAGTTCAGTCCCTGCTTTCCAAGAGCCAAGCATAGCAATCTGTCATCTCAGCCAGTCCTAACAAATATGAAACAGCCCGACGATAGTGTTGTAGTGTAAAATATTAGATTGAACAAAATTATTTAGAGAAAAAACAAAGCAATACTTTTGGCCTTAAGTATGTGTAACAGGGCTGTGAAACATTTAAGAGAATACAGGAAATCGAAGCTGCTGGGAAGACAGGCCATACTGCAACTGTCAAAAGAAAATGGCTGAAACAAAGTTTCAACAACCTCGGAACCTGCTGTACCTCTCCTATGCAGGAGAAATGATTGTCACCACATAATCAGTGACATTATTCTTCCTCAGTTGTGGGTTCAAATCCCACCTACACTGTTTGTGGAATTGCTATGTTCTCTCCGTGTCGCACGTGTTTCTTCGCACATCCCAAATACATGAGCTAATCGGTGTTTCTAAATTATAGTATGATTGTGTCTTAGTGTGCAATGTACCCCTCGATGGTCTAGCAGCCCGCTGCCGGTGCTGCGCTGGGACATGCTGCAGGCGACCCTGGTCAGGGTAAGATGGCAAGCATATTCGTAACATATATTATTTGGCCAAACACGTTTAGTTCTCGACTGCCATTAAAGCGGTTATGCTAGCGATTGATAGCTACGACTGTCGCCACCTCTGGTTCAGGCATTTGAGAGGGCAGTCTGTTTTGGGTCCTTTCTGTAGTTCCTGGTCCACGTCTTCAAGAAAATATTACGTTAATCGTAATGGAGGCGGGTTGAGTGTCTGGCCACTGCAAATCCTGAAACTTACTGCTAATTAATTCGGACTCTGGATGCTGTTTGTTTTCACCGCTTGAAGGACAAAGACTCCCATACGATTTTCTACTTTATACGACCATTGTCGCAAGGTAAATATTTAGATGGGTAGCAAGGGACGACAAGAGGGCCACTGAATTTCTTATCATTGTAACTGTCTGGAGATATAGTACTGGCCTCGTCCTACTAACATATTATTAATAATAATTACACTTTTATCATGCACTTTGATTATGCAAGTTTACGCTGAATGGGTGTATTAGCGAAAAAGAAACGCTCGTGACAGCTGATCAAGCAGTACCTTTGTATAACCAGCGTACCATTTGTGTAACATGTTGAAGTAGTTAGGAATAAATAATTTTTTGTAATGGCAGTACAACTAATAAATATGTGTACTGGGCCTTTCCGCTTAAATTAACTTACGCATGCAGTCGCCGGTGATCTTAAACGATCTTGTTTGCATTGTGGTCTTGCATATACTGCTGCCCATCTTATGTCTATTTGGAAACCGTTTAAAATTAAGATGGAAACCAATCATAGCAGGTCTTTTTCTTTCTTGTTTTATGTCGTTGATATACTTATGTTCCTCGCCTGTTCCTCCAATTTGTGATCCATACGCCGTCAGTGTATCATCACCATAAAATATATTTCTCACTTTTTATCCTCTGCTTTAACTGTATGCTGTCGTTTGAAACCATTGACAATTCTGTTTATTGAAGAGGCATAAGGACTTGTTTAATTACATACGTGATTTATTGATAAACATTAGAAAAACAAGGCTGAGAAATGGTGTTTTGGCAGTATATGAATAAAGCTTTAATACGATAACACTATGTTTTAAAACCGTTATTGTGATGCATTCCATTGTGCCTCTAACCGCATGTGCGTTTGTTGATTTGTGCAGAATGTCCTGGTTGACTGATCTGGCAGGGAAAGCAGAAGACTTCCTGAACAAAGTGGATCAGGGGGCAGCCAGTGCTCTGACTAAGCACCAGAGTCGAGCTGCCACCTTTTATGACACCCCAGATTCGGCCCATTTTGGTACTGCATATAAACCGCCCGTCCCAGAGCAGCAGCAAAGTTACCACACCTCTCATGACACACCCGCCTTTATTACTGCAGCTGCCAGCAACATCAAGAAATCCAACACTACTCTGCTGGCAGGGACAGCAAATTCATCTTCTGCCTCCTTTGACCCTGCTGGTAGCAGTGGTCCAGGCTTCACTAAGGCCTCCTCCAACTTCGTCCGACCGAAAAAAGCAGAAATGAATGACGATGTCCTGTTCGACTTCCTGAACAGCTCTGACCCCACATCCAACAGAAAACGGAATGTCAAGAAGGAGCAGCACGAAGCAGCAGGAATAGCAGAAGGATCATCCGCTGCTTCAAGTGCTGACACTGCACGTCCATCTGAACCCTCCTTACCTCCCTCTAAAACTGGCTTGTTTAGAAGCTCCAGCCTTGGTTCCATGTCTACCAGCACAGACGGTGTAAAAATCTCTGAAGAGGGGTCAACCAAGACCCCCAGCCAAGGTAGCACAAAGGAGTGTTGCCTGGCCACAGAATGGCACTTCTTTGTATTAAAATTAAATTATGGAATACAGCATGCATTACAGTATAGCTGTATTTCTGTAGTGGTCTTGCTTTTGTGTGGTATTAATTGTATGTGTTACATTTCAAATAATTTGTTTTTAAAAATTCATGTGTTTAGAGACAAATTTTTCTGGTTGGTGGATTTATATACTTCTTATTGTTTTTCTTTAAGTCAAATGGCATGGTTGGTTAGAGGTTGCTTATTTGGTTTTTTAATGATCAGCTGTGCTCACACTGTACCTTTAAGGATGGTGCCATTACGGTCAAATTTAGGTAGGCTCATAGACATTGTAAATATAGTAGGGAGATGTTTTTTAATGACCAGCTGTGCTCACACTGTACCTTTAAGGATGGTGCCATTATGGTCAAATTTAGGTAGGCTCATAGACATTGTAAATATAGTAGGGAGATTTTTTTTAATGAGTTAAATCCCAAAAAACTTACAGAAACACCAGAGAGCTCAGACTCAGGGCTAGAAGGACGCCAGGAATCCACTGCAGAAGATCCAGTGTCTGTTGAGGAGCAGCAGGGACAGGTGATGTCTAGTCTCCGTTTGGAGAATCAGCTGCTGCGGAATGAAGTGGCATCACTTAATCAGGAGATGGTTACGCTCATACAGCGAGCCAAAGATTCACAGGAAGGTATGTGCTAAAAGGGGATTTCGTGTGTTTAAGGTATCCTCTCCTAAATATGACATTGACGTACATGCAGAGATGGAGATTGTGTAATCTTTAAGGTAAGGACGCAGTCTTCATAAAGTAATCTGTCATCTGTTTCCTTCCACTTGTATCAAAGAGCTGGCCATAGCCCGTGCCCATGCAGATAGGTGGAACTCTGACCAGTCACGCACAGACCGCACTATCAGAGAATTAATGTCACAAGTGGATGACCTTAAGGAAGCCCTATCTGCGAAGGATGGACAGCTGGCGGTACTGAAAGTCCGACTTGAAGAAGCGGACCAGCTGATGGTGTCTCACAGCAAGGCGCTTGAGGCAGCGCAGTGTGAGAGGTCCAGGTGAATCCCTAGGACACTAGAATCATTCATCCCTCTGCAGGCCTACCTTCCCCTTATATGCTTTTCCAGGAAGCATCACGAGTCATGAATAATGTGAAAGACGCATATAATGATATTTTATAAGAGCAATACAAACAAATTCAGTATGAATTGGTCATGCGTTCTACAAAAGGTTTTGTGGTGCACCTCTGTTGTTACAGAATCTTACAGGACCACACAGAGGGGAGTGTAATGCACTCACAAGCCCTTGAGACATTACAAGAAAGGCTAAGGGATGCAGAATCTGCACTGAAGAGAGAGCAGGAGTGCTGTCGGCAGTTGCAGGTTTGAAGTAAACTAATTTTTCCTGTAACCATTAATGTCGATCTCTTTATACTTGTTTCACATTGGTCTCACTTCGGGGTTTGTTTTCTGTTATGCCCCTACGTTTGACGAGTAATAGACATGGAGGAATAATTGGGAGTTGAGACATCAGTCTGACTGCAGGCCTCCCTGACTGCCTGAACCCGCTTGGGTTTTTTTTTTTTTTTTTAGAGCGAATTTGCAGATCGATTAACGAAAGTAGAGGCTGAGAAGCAGACTCTGGCGGAGACGGTGACTGCAGCGGAGCGGCGCGTGGGGGACGATCGGCGCAGGGTGGACGAGTGTCAGCAGCAGCTGCGCAGTGCACGCTCAGCCGCTGAATCGGCCAGGCAGGAGCTGCAGGACTACAAGCACAAGGCCTCGCGAATACTCCAGGTATTTTGTCCTTCAGGAGACATTTTGTGTGCAGGGCTTTTTTTTTTTTAGTTTTCATTTCCTTTATCTAGCATATCAAAAAGTACATTCTTCTCTGGACACAGCTTACAGCAACACCACCAACTTATTAGAGACACTTTATTTGTTGATAATAAGTTTACTTTGGCTATAGTTCATATTGGGTAAA